CAAGTCATGATCAGCAAATCTGAAAGGCCTGAATTCCTGGACGAATTCATTGTATTCGTTAGTGATTCGACGTACCGTTTGAATCAAAACGATAGAGCATAACCTCGAACAAAAATTTTTGGATTTAAGTCGGAAAAGCTTAAAATGAGAAAATTCCTAACAATAATTTCACTTTTCATTGCCATTTGGTACTCGAGGGAATCAAAAATCTATCACAAAAAACCTGTTTCCTTAGATTTCTCGATTGACTTTTGAGGCTATGTTTACATGTTGAACCATTCGATATCGATGTACAATCTCACATGTTTGATTCATCGAATGCGATCTATTTGCTGTAGAAAGTGGAACTTCGTTCGCGGATAGACGTTGATCACTCGATGAGACAGTGAAAACAAAATAAGGCAGGCAATTTGCAAAAAAGAAAGGCAACAAATTTGAACTTGAATTCGATTTGATGACGTCATTAGATAAGCAAGGGCGACGTCATAAGTAGCAATATAACAGAAGCTATTCGGTCACTCAGGTCAAATCTGATCATTTATGGTCATTTCTGGTCCCTATAGGCAACGTCCGATATGACGTCATCGGAAAGATATATTTTAATGACGTTCGAAAAATCGGTCGATGACTTCGTCGGAAAGTACATTGATGAACTTATCGAGGAGTCCATCGGTGAAAGAATCAGAAAAGCCATGACGACGTCATATGTGGGATTTTCCCATGACGTCATCTTAGCTTTTCCGAGGAAGTTTTCGAATTGGTTGATTTAACGATCAATTAGAAAGCAACCAGCGACGAGCAAACAAGGATCTGCTTTGCTTTTTTATACCTAATATAGTAAGGTAAAAAAAATTTCAAATTTCAACACAACACTTCGATACATTACTTAGCAAAAATTCCACCATGTAATTGCACTTTATTGCAACCTGTTAGGTACTTAGGTTGCCACTCGTCTCTCAACTTATACAACGTTTCAAAAGCGTTAAGGACATAGTTCTTTTCGTATAATGGGAGAACTGAACAAATTCCCACGAGGGAAATTGGATACCATTTTTTTATTCAGCAAAATTCGTTCCGCAAAAGTCAGTATAAAGTCCATCTATTCGTAACAACTTTGAAACGTTCCGATGGACTCGCTCTCTAATGCAAAAAATCGATTCAAATTTAATTGCATAGTCCGTTTATTAAAAACAAAAGTTGTCTGAAGAGGGGAAGGGAAGTTAGCCCCACAGAGGCATGCGGTGAAAAGTTCAAAGGAGGTTTTGGTTTTGAGGTTTGTCGTGTCCCCACGGGCCTATTATTGGTGCCCTGGCCGTGCGGTCTTTCCCGCGAGAAACCTTTCACTCCAACATGATAGAGATTCTCTTTTACTGAAAGATTTGATCTGCACGGACTTGCTTCGGCTGGTATCTTGTTTTTGAGATTATCACTGTTATGGAGTGATGATCTTATCAGACTTATTGTTAGTCGGAGGTTGTTCTGTTATCAAACTGTTAATTGTTGAACTCATTGTCAGCACGCGCAAAGTTTTGAGGATGACCGTTGTTAGCTGCATCTTTCTGGCCCAGTCTTCATTCCAAATAGCCTGTGATACTCCCAAACCAAACCATGTATATCGGTTTGCGAAGTCGTAGATTTCCTATCATGCATTATTTTTTAGATTAAGAACTACTTCAACGTGAATTCTTATGAAACGTCGGTGACTTTTCTTCTCTGTGCAAATGCAAATTCAAACAATACCTACTGAAAAAATTTTCTCTTGAGATATTATTTTGACTTAAAGTGTCGTCTCTTGGCGACAGAATTTGAATTTTCTTTAAAAGTTAAATCCATGTGGATTTAACTTATAGTCAGATGTTTTAGTTAAAAAAGCGTTGTTTTACTATCGTAAAAAACAATAAACAATGAAAAACAATATCGTTAAAAAACAATAGCAAAAGAACGTTTCCTGAACTAAAAAAAAAAAAAAATTGTTGACAAGAAACGACGCTTTAAGTCAAAATAGTATCTAAAGAAAAAAAAAATTTCAATGAAAACTTCAAGGAATGATGTTAACATGTTTTTCTGAAAAAATAAAATAGGAGCAAAGATTTTTATGCACCGCAAACGATACGTGGTACGAAAGTTTCACCGTCGAAATCGTTATTATTTCATTCAGTTTTTAAAAAGTCATTACACCATCGGAAAAGGAAAAGGGAGAATTCATTTTTCCTCTATTCCTCCCGTCTGTCGATCAAGTCTCCTCTCTTCATTTAAGACCGCTCAACGGGAGAGAGACCTTAATTGAATTTTAAGCCTTTGATAGAAACTCGCTCCAGTATCTAATAGAATAATTTGCTAGCGATTAAGTTCATTCGTGAGCAAATGGTAGGCATACAATTCTTTACAATCTGAAAATTTTGCGTCCTGAACGTGGCAGTTGCACTGCGTTTGGACTACCATAACTTTTGTCTTATTTGATATTTTTGTAGGGTTTTTCATCCTAAAATATTCGCGTAGACGAATCATTTATTTTCTAATGGCACTGACTCAAGCTCGACTAAGGTTCCTCTTCCGGGAGACGGTCCAAGTGGCACAGTGCAGCGAAAATATTGAAATAAGTTTACAATTTATCGCGAAAAAATCGAAATATTATTAAATCGTTTGATCAATAAATGACTATTTTGACACTCATTGCCCGAGACTTTTTCTATATGCAAAGTCAGAGGTCGGGTAAAATTGACTAGCGTAATGTACATTGATTTTGATTGTTTTTGAAGTTATTGATGGTACTCCTACATTTTTGAAGGTAATCAATACTTCATTTTTTTAAAAAAATTTTTACTTGTTTGGTAATGCTCGCACCTTGTTGCTCACGTGCTCACCGTGAAGCACCACTACAAATCAGTGGAGTGGCGTGAATTGCGATATATCGATTGTTATTCCATTTAAACCTATGGTAAAGAATCGATTATTAAGGTGTTCGCTGCGAACACCCTGCTTATCGATCCTTTTCCATAAGTTTAAATGGCATAACAATCGATATATCGCAAAGCACGCCACGCCACTGCTACAAATAAGACAAACAAAACCAACACAATATGGAAATAGAGTGAAGGAAAGGAGGCGCGCTGATGACGGCGCTGAGATACGACTATTCGTGCTTGGTGGATGCCCGTGTTGTATCTGCAAAATTGAAGGCGCGATGGTGCGAGGCGTGGTGACCTCGCAATGCTCCGCTCTATGCTGTCAGTGGAGTTTAACTCAGATTCGGTAGAAAAATCAAAGACGGACTAAGGAGGCCTGAATACATGCGTCTCTCCTATCTCCGTCTGTATTGACTTTGGAGTTTTTTCTTACTTTTCAATCTGACGTCTAATTGTTTTCTTAGGGTATAAGTATTTGCAGGCGTATATCTAAAAATCGCATAATACCGCCTCACACCCTCTCCAGAAGAGATAGTCGGGTAATTTTGACCCGGTTTGGAATCTCTTGGGGTAGTTGTAAAAAAAATTCCATGAAACTCAATTTTTTTCCACCAATTTGACGTCTGATCAATTTATCGTTGTATTTAGTTGTAGATCTGTAGGTATCTAAAGCTCTTATGTGCCGACCCATACGACCCGCGCGGGGCACGTATTCTTAGTAAGCCTCGGATATATTTGACCCGGTTTGGGCATCGACGGATTAGACGACCAATTTAATAATTTTCATGTGTGAGGAAGGTAGGCAATTTACGGTATTTCAACATATTCAAATTCCATCGCAATAGATTTCAACAAGAAGAGCCCCTTCAATCAGTCAATAGACAATATTCACGACACTTCGACACAATTGCAATCGTGCCACTTGGAGGGAGATCATGTCGGTAAAAAAAGACCATCTTCATTTTTTCAGGCTTGGATGGTACTACGACGTTAAGTTTACTCCGATTGAGCTACTGCGAGATCGTCGCTTTAATTTCCACAAAAGAACTTCGGATATTATTAAACTCGAGGCTCGGATTGGAGCACAAAAATCAGCTCACTCATAGGCGCTGTCAATATTTTCAACATTCTCGACGCTCAATGTGTGAAGAGATGGAGGTGTCTTATTGCATTACATTGCCTAATCAGGTAAAATTTATCTACTTTTCCATGTTTCTACCTACAAAGTCAAGCCGTCTTCGCCAGGCATGCAATGACGCAGTAAGTGCTCCACTTTTGGCATTTGTCCTCACCTTATTACCCTCGTGCTATAATAAACGCCGTATGAACCTTCTTCAGAGGGTTGCCAAATCTCCTTTAATAAAACAAGAATTTCCTGGTAAACCTATGAATATATTTTTCCTCCAAGTTGTCGGATAAATTTGTTCCCAACTTCACATAAAGTTCCGGAAAATGTAAAGGAAACGTATTCTTAAGTTTCCTCAAAAATAAATATTTAATCAGAGGAGATACGACAAACCTCGAACGATCATACGGATTTTTTCCTCAGCACGGCTACTCAATGTGAAACTCGGATGAAAGTAAGGTGGAAGAAACCAAGGACGTCACCACTCACCACCGCGGTGGATGACGTCATATACTGAATTTTTCAAAGCGCGATATCTCGGTTAATACTGAGCGTAGAAAGTTGCTGTTTGGACAAATTTAATTATTTTTAGCTAATTTACCAGAATCAAGCGTCAAAGCACGATTCTGTGACCAGTGCAACTGACCCATCACCTATTCTGCCGTGTTAAAGAAGAACGCCGGATGAGCCTTCAGACGTCGCCGCATGTTTCCTTCGATAAAAACTGAATGTGCAGGGAAAATTGTAAATATTTGTTTCCAGAAATTTCAGACAATTTAGTACGCGATTTAATCTAAAATATCTTAAAATTTCAAAGAAAAATAAGCATGCATGTCGTCAAAAATACATGTTTTATCAAGGGAAATGTGGCAACTCTCGAATGTTCATACGACGTTCTTCCTTAGCCTGGCAGCATTCTACTCCATTGAACTTTATAATCAAGAATTTCAAGATAGAATTAGACTTACCACTTGTTGTAAAATTGACTTCATCCGCGTCGTCCTCGTTGACTGGTTCTAATTGGCTGTTGTCTCCGTCAGGGTCAGATGATAGGGACATGATGACGTCAGAGGAGACGGAAGAAATGAACCGGTAGCAAGTCATGGTAAAAAGGAGAACTTCATAAATCCGAACGATCCCTCTTGGACCAACTGACCGCATCTCAAGACATCGCACCGAAGAAACGCCTCAACTTTCAACAGTTAGACAGCCGGCTTCCGAAGCACGCGCACCTCCCAGTGTCTCGCTACATTTTCTCGGGACATGATCGCCCAACAGATTCCCCTCAAAATTTGGTGACATGTCTAAAAATGAAAAATTCCAAGCTCATCACAAACAAACGAACCGATAAAAACTCCGAGAGTGGCAAAACTATGACTCATTCCTTTTCTATCCCTTTCTTATTATTCTAAACTTTCTTTAAAAAATGTTTTTCGGGTACTCTGAGATTACTTGTAACCTACTCAAGTGGCATTTTTCGACGGAAAACTCGCGACATTTTGGAATTATAACTTTACGACTTTTGGGCGATAAAATTGCTGGGATCATTAAAATATGAGCGATTATCCTCAATCTTGTCGTAATTTTATCTCTGTAAAAAATCGTGTTCCATGTATACCGTTGAGCACGTTTCGTCAACATTTTTGCGAGTCGGCCTCATCGCAAATTTTTCATGGTGAAATTTAGTATAAAAAAATTATTAATTAGTTTTTAAACTTTGCGCACTTCTACCGCTTAAAAAATACAGTAATTTTTAACGTACAAATTCTTTCGCCTCGCAGTCTTAATTTAAGAAAAAGAGACCGATTGCAGTCGTATTGGCATTTTTCTGTGTGAAAATTCTCAGGAAAGTTTGTGGCGAAAGCATGTAAAAATAATGAGAGTATGTAGATTGCCTGCCTCAAAGACATTCAATAAAGGCAACTGGGCGCAAAGCCGCACACCAGCCATTATATTGTTACTTAGTAAGATTCATTTCGGTGTGAAATTGTTATGTTCAGATAGAATAAACATTGCTTCAATACATTATTGGTGCTTGTTGCTTGTAATATTATCCACGATTTCACTCATTCACCGGATAAATAATTTCTGTAATAGGTATCATATTCTACTGTGCTTTTACACTAAGGAACAAGATCGCCTATTGATAAAACGAGCACGAGACCGGGAAAGGAACATAAATTGAAAGCCATTTTCACGAGAAATTATGTAGGCAGTTTCATGGTATAAGTACCCGTTATTCAAGAAAATTGTCACTAATATTCTAATTAAATCCAGGGGGGGAAGTTGAAAGAACCACCCCCTATCCACTATGGAGTCGCTGTAGACCACTTTGTCAGCCCCTGCTTTCTACATAATTTGTAATCTACCCCAGTAGCACAACGCAAAGAAAATGTTGGAATGCTTTTGCAATTTATGAAGCAATAGAGTAGCAATTTGCTTTACTGCATTTCAATATTTTTGCAACATTTGGTCAATAAAAACCAATTTTATCAATTAAAAAATTAGCTCCACGTGTGAGGAAAGTAGGACATTTGCAATGCAAAATTAAAGCGACTTATTTCAATTTTATAGAAATAAGAGAAGCCCCTTCAATTGCGTGAATACGCAACATACACAACACTCCTATGCAAAAGCAATAATTTCACCGCACGATTGCACTTTATTGCAACCTGTGCTACTTGGGCACCTGCTAGTGAGGAATTACCTACGCAAGATAAAAGTGATTAAATCGAGGCCTTTCATGAACCCTCCTCAAAGCGCATCTTCAAGTTAGATTTTAATAGGACGGCATTTTCTTCATTATCCACCACTTTTGAGGGTGATACGTACATGTATTTAACAAGAAGGGGAGCAACTTTATACAGGCGCCTAGGTCTCGAGAGAAAAGTATGCTCTTTCATTCGTCCATGTTTTTTAACGAAAGAGGCAAATAACTTTTGAAGCAGGAACTATGCACACGCGAGCGGTGGGGTTGAAAAAGCCGGAGCACACAACAATGCAAGACGGAATAATTAATGACGAAATTTAACGATTTGGACATGTGTTTGCGGGGAAACGTGGGGAAAACGAGACCGAACTGCGAGCCAGCGTGGTCGAGGCACTACTGACAGGCAAGCGCTCTAAAATGTTGTTCAGGAGCTCGGGAAAGTTAGGGGGTGATAAAGGGGCGGAGAGAGCGGTGCGGTCTTCGGATCCCTCGAATTTTTTTTTCTTTAAAGGTGATGTTGGCTCCCCGCTGCTTGGAGACAAAATATATTAACGACCCCGCTATGGTGACTTTCTGCAGCGTACATATTATACGTTATTTTTAAGAATTCAAGAGGATACCCAATAAAGAGAGTGCACGTACACATTTATACAGGGTGAGCAAAAAGTTCCGGTACCCGGCATCATCCCTACATTGCCATGCTACGGCGGAACGCCATATGAACTTTCAAACGTTGCCAAATTTCCGTAGATATAAATTACGAATGCTCGAAAGTTATTAGTGAATACTTTTCTTCTGATTTTTTGGAGAATTTTATTCACAATTTGATCTAATGTTTGAAAGGAAACATATTCGTAACTTTCTTCAAAAATTAATAATCTCTGAAAGGAAATTCGGCAACATTCGAATGCTCATACGGCGATGTTTTTCCACAACACGGCAGTATAACTTTTGTGCAAATTGAGATGGAGACTTTAACTTTTTTGCTTGGCAGGGCCGGGTGAAGGGGGTGGCCACATGGGCCGCGGCCCATGGCGGCAAAATTAGGGGGCGGCAAATTTTGCAATTTTTTTAAATGCAGGTACAAAAAAATCGGATTCAGAACAAAATTACAATCAAGAAAAGGTGACACAATCTCTCATTTCCTGAGAATTCATTATTTTCTAATTTTGTCGTATTTCGGTGATACAAAAGACTGCGCATTTTTAATTAGTTGAGTTAAGAGAGAAACCAAACACGTAATAATTTGGCCTGGAGCGGCGCGGCGCAAAGAGAAATGATGACGAGGACTTGAGATGAAAAGGAGAAACCCTCGACGCGGCGGTCGGCATGTAACACATATTAGCGCCTACGAGACTGCGTGAATACTTCACGCATTGCGTCAAACACAGTACGGTCAACAGCGGTCGACGTGGCGTGAAACGCACAGTGCCTACAAGACTACGTGAATACTTCACGCATTGCGCCAAACACAGTGTGGTCAGCGCGGCACGGCGGCGGAAGTTAAAATTATTAAACCACATTTAGGTTTGTTCTTTCTTAATTTTTTAGTTCGTTTCTTGCAAATGAAAGGCCTTGTCCCCACAGAGATAGGTTTACGGAACTGAACTTTCTTGCGAAGTTCCGTGAATTTTTGCAGTAGTGTTGACGCAGGGCTTACGCAAAATATGTGTCCAACGCGAGTGAAGGCGTCTTATGCACCCTTCTCCCACCGGCACGTTCACTTGATGGTTTTCATTAATGTTTCAAAATGAATGAGAAGAGGGCGGCAAAATACAGGCGGCAAGTAAGTAAATCCGGCCATGCTGCTTGGTAGAAGGGAGCGACTTTTCGCCCCCCCCCCCTCCCCCAAATGTTACGAGTTCTGTCTTGAACAGAGGCAAGAACCCTACCTATAGCGGTTGGGGCGGTGCGGAACTTCTGAATCACGCTGAAAATAATGTATAGGGAGAACGCCTAAGCTGCCGTACTAAGGAAGAACGCCGTGTATGAGCTCCCGGGCGTCGCCAAATTCCCCTTGATTAACTACGAATTTTCGAGGAGACTGGCGAATAATTTTCCTCCGCCTTTTTTCAGAGAATTGTATCAAAGCAATAATTTAATCTGAAGTACCAATGAGAAATCTTTCATTGTTGTTACTAGGATACGATCTACTACGTGATTACACCGAGGCAAGGCTACATACGCACTTACTGACGTGTCGCGTTGATGGTAACGCCTGAATACCACTATTCGTGTTCTGGGGATGTCTGTGTTGCATAAACACAAAATTGAAGGCGGGCTAAGTTCCTGTACCATCAACGGTATTATGGTGAGTGACATTTCGTTTGAGAGGCGTTAACGATGAAAGCGAGGTGAAACAATGGCTATCTCCGGTTCCTCTATCTTATTCTTTTTTTATGTTCTTTTCTAGGCGTCGACGTCTGTTATCGACTTGGTGCGGCGCGCGTCGCTGAGGACAAGGAAAGCCAGCCCGCCTTCAACCTTGTGAATATGCAACACTGACTTCACTCGAACACGAATAGACGCATCCAGCAGGCGTTACTTAAAACGACGTGTTTGGTGCGGCTGTCGAATGTAAGCAGCGACGGTCTCGACACCCTTACATTTTAAAAATCCACGCAACATGGCGAAATAATACTTTTTCATCAAGTTTCACTAATGTGTACCATCAAAGAAGCATTTTCCTTGAATAGAGGCTAACACCGGCTAGCCCTCTTTCGAAGAGAGAGCACAAAATACTTAGTACATAAACCTATAAATGATTAAACTGTAGTATCGTCGTAGAGTATCACAGACAAACGGTCTGACCAGAAAAACTTCATACTTCTTGTGATAGCACACCAATTTCTGTATTAAATTTGTTCTTTATTTCATTTCTTTGAAAAAAGAAGCTTATATTTTTGCTGAGATTAACAAAGAATATTATGAGATGATTGGAGAAAATTCATGCGAAACTAAACGAATTAATAACGATTTGTTTTCCTGTATCAAGATTTCAGGTAGGAAGGTAGGAGCGTTAGAGTCAGAAATAGAGACATGTTTTTCTACCCAAATCATCAGTGTGAATATCTACATTCCTTTGAGTCTTTACTTCAAATTATACTTTAAGTACCTATTTTATTACATCACTGTTTTTTTTTATTATTATTATTCTTTTCCCCCAGATCAGGACTTCTCTAATTTTACTACTCTTATTTTTCCAGAGTTTCAAAATTTAGAGCAGTGAGTTTTGTACTTACTAAGCTGCATTGACTGTTGGCGCACATTGGTTAGGTAATTGAACAAATTGAACATTTTTAGGGAACAAAATTTATTTAACAACAGAAAGTATTTAAATAACTAAGAGAGAACAAGTTTATCATGCTCAACTGTTATACAAAGACATGGACTGATGATCACAAAATAACTGTGAAGCCCCTAGAGTTTATCAAAGAACTTTTTGCGAAAAAAAAGAGAACAAAAAAAAGCTGAGTAAATTCTACAAGAAACTCCTGGAAATGAGAAAAAAAGAGGATTGATGACATGAAACTGGAGTGTGTGATTAGAAAAATATTTTTTAGGTAGGCACTTAGAAAAATATGAAATTGAATGAATAAAATAAGAATACGTTTTAAGCTTGAGAATGAAATACACCTTTGGAAATAAAACAAGAGATTGGTTCTCTTGATTTTTTTTTTTTTAGAATTTCTCTGAGACCAAAATCACTTTTGTTGTTACATACGGAAGATCAATCAATTATTAGGGCTTGTCAATACTTTGTGAACTCCAAATCATAGTTAGGGTTTCACAGTTCATAAAATATGTGCCAGATTTTTCGGCTTTCCCTCATAACACTTTTGTGACATAGGTCTCTTTTCTTTGGCGCATAAAAACAAAGTGGTGCAACATTCTCTTCGACCCCCCTCCCCCTCTAGAGAGTTACATACTTTAAGAATAACCCCTTACAACATTACAGCTGTCCATTTTTGTCAGTCTCCAACAGCTTTCGTCCCAAGTACCAACAAATAATTGAGTTCAAGAGAGTACCCAACAAATCTAGGAGAATCAGGATTCAATCAATGTGACAGTAAAAATAACTTCATCATCCTTACTTCAACGGTAATCACGGTAAAAATCATTTCAAAATAAATCGTCTTACGTAAATTATGCAAAAATCAGAACCGGGCTGACATTTTTGCTTAAATTGCTGATAACGAAACACAATATCACAGAGAAAAGGATGGTCGAACAAAAACTTTTAACAGGATAAAATATTACTATATGTATTTTATGGGTTCTGACCTTGGCTCATGGTTTTTCTAATTTTGCGGCCATTTGTAAATTTATACGTATTTCGCGCATAAACATAACTGACAGCGGATGCAACGGTAGTAAATGCAGTCAAGCACCACAGACTTTGGAGAGCAATGTGGTCTGTGTAGTCGAATATTGGTGCACCAAGCGTTATAGCAACTGTGGCAAGTTGAACTGAGGTGTTCACTTTACTGATAAAAGTAGGAGCTAATTGAACCGTTGCTAGGGTGAGGTCAAAATATTTACTGACCGTGCGAGGAGGTGGTAATGATTTGTACCTGATGTATGATGCTGCACCCACTAGGCCAACATCTCTGACTATAATTAAGCTTGTCAAAGAAATCGGCATAATATCAACAAAAGTGAGCGTAAGAAACATAGTTGCAACAAGGATTTTGTCAGCTATTGGATCTAAAAAACTTCCAAGTTTCGATGACTGATTTTTAAAATTTCTTGCAATCCACCCATCAAGCAAATCAGAGATCCCAGCGCAAACAAGAACACCGACAGCCAAATTGTAGCTTTCCTCCAGAATCAAGTAACCTAACCAGGGTGATAAGCTTATTCGAAAAATGCATAACAAATTTGGAATGGTCCATATATTTTCTCGTTCTATCAATTCCTCTACTTTAGCTTTCATCCTCGTTTTTTCTGCCTTGATATTTTTAAGCAAAACCTTGCCTTTGGTCTTCAATTGCTCTTCAGCTTCTTTTAGCTCTTCTACTTTTGCTTTCATCTTACTTCTTTCTTCTTTGATATTTTTAAGCAAAACTTTGCCTTTGGTTTTGAGTTGCTCTTCTGCTTTCCGGAGACTTTCCTGTCTTTTATGGAGGGCACCCTTCAAAAAATCTTTCTGTCTGGAAATCTTACCTCTGCCATTGCAACTATAATCCACACAGCACGTGATCTGTACATACTTAACACAATTTAGTACTTGATGCTGTTTAAAATGCAGAGCTGGTATGTTTGAAATGTTCTGTTGATATCGCTGTGCTTGGCTGACACGGCTAAAATTACACGATGCATGACGAAAAAATCTTCCACTACCTTGCACTCTCAGAAAAGAATGAATACATTGTCTGAGAATCATTCTTTGAATTTTCTCTCTTCGGGATGAACACAAATTGGACTAGATGAATTTCTTCGCTTCTGACTGTTCATACAAGAGTTGTATTGAGTAACTAACTATTCAGGAATATTCACTTTTGTGTTTCTCCTTCATCTTAAAAACTTGTTTCAGAATCATCCTGGGAACAAAAAATAACTCGATTAGAGATAAATAAGGACACAACGTAAAAGAAAGAAGACTCTGCCTACTCAAACATTTTCAACTCCTTCCGATTCCTTGAATTTTGTACCACTTATCGTAATTGAATTAAAATGATGATAACTTCTTTTTCATGGCTAATTTTTGCCGAATAGGATTTAGTAGTTTTCTCTTGAAGGTACAAAAAAAAGTTTTCTTTTTTAAATTGCTCATCAGCTTTTTGAAGGACAATCCCATGGTCGATCGCTAAATCAATGGATCATTTATAGATTTCAGGAAGTTTCTTGAGAAATTAAGAGCATCATATCATGCTGTACGACTTCAAATATTGGTACATAAAAGACCAAGAAATAGTTTGAGATAACTCTGTGGGTACATCTTGAAAAATATTGCAATTCATTTGACCTTTTGATTTGTGATATTCACCCTGGTCATTCATTTGAGGTCAATTCAAATTGTTTCTTGGTCTTTCATGTACAAATATATGACATACTACAGCATTACAAGATGCATAGACATTCTCAAGACCTGTCTAAAATCCAGAAATTATCAATTGATTCTCAAAAATGCAGAAAAACCACCTTAATAATGGCTCACTTTCCTTCTATATGGGCGTAGCTACGGGGGTCCTGGGGGGGCCAACCCCCCCCCCCCCAAAAAAAAAAACGGGATCCTCCATTCCTCACCCCCTACCCCCGCTCTATTCACCACGAGAGGTGGTCCCATGCCCCCCCTAGAGAAATTTCCTAGCTACGCCCCTGTTGCAGACGTCAACTAATGTATGTATGTATGTCTTATTTTTAATCATTCTTGTCACGAAAGGCAAATACAGTTTTTCTAAAGAATTTCCGCGGATTTTCTTCAGTCGCGGAAATTTTGACGCAATATTTTCGCTCGTTTCATACCTCATAAAAAAAATAGAAAATAATAAACCCAATCCGAGATACTGAATCGTTACAACTCAGGGATACACTTTCACTCAAACTGTGGTAAAAACGGGACGGAGAGTCAAGGATAATGACGTGCAGTCCTCCCTTTGCGGCGATTTTAGCGGCGCGCCAGCCAGGGAGATCGCACGGGACGAAACCCGAGTAATTGCTGGAGTGTGGCGCGCCTTCAATCCGGCTGGCAGCAAAATGCTTACACACGTGGTCGAATAGTCGTATCACTGCGCCTGCCGTGAATGAGTTCAAATATCCATTCCTGCACGCGTAAGAGAGCGTATTTAGCTCCGACTGCAACGTTGCAAACCTCAACTAATGTTTTATTTTTAACCATTCTTGTCCCGAAAACCAAATACAGTTTTTCTAAAGAATTTCCGCGGATTTTCTTCAGTCGCTGGAAATTTTGACGCAATATTTTCGCTCGTTTCATACCTCATTAAAAAAAAAAAGAATTTAATAAACCCGATCCGAGATTCCGAATCGTTACAATTCAGGGATACACTTTCACTCAAATTGTGGTAAAAACGGGACGGAGAGTCAAGGATAATGACGTGCAGTCCTCCCTTTGCGGCGATTTTAGCGGCGCGCCAGCCAGGGAGATCGCACGGGACGGAACCCGAGTAATTGCTGGAGTGTGGCGCGCCTTCAATCCGGCTGGCAGCAACATGCTTACACCCGTGATCGAATATTCGTATCACTGCGCCTGCCGTGAATGAGTTTAAATATCCGTTCCTGCACGCGTAAGAGAGCGTATTTAGCTCCGACTGCAACGTTGCAGACCTCAACTAATGTCTTATTTTTAATCATTCTTGTCCCGAAAACTAAATACAGTTTTTCTAATGCATTTCCGCGGATTTTCTTCAGTCGCCGGAAATCTTGACGCAATATTTTCGCTCGTTTCATACCTCATTTTAAAAAAATGAATTTAATAAACCCGATCCGAGATTCTGAATCGTTACAATTCAGGGATACACTTTCACTCAAATTGTGGTAAAAACGGGACGGAGAGTCAAGGATAATGACGTGCAGTCCTCCCTTTGCGGCGATTTTAGCGGCGCGCCAGCCAGGGAGATCGCACGGGACGGAACCCGAGTAATTGCTGGAGTGTGGCGCGCCTTCAATCCGGCTGGCAGCAAAATGCTTACACACGTGGTCGAATAGTCGTATCACTGCGCCTGCCGTGAATGAGTTCAAATATCCTTTCCTGCACGCGTACGGAAGCGTATGTAGCTCCGACTGCAACGTTGCAGACCTCAACTGAATCGGTTTCTGTTATTCGGGCGTAAGTCCAAAACTTTCAAAATCGTTTTTTTGCATTTTCAGCCTCCTTTAGGGTACATACACATTTTCTGAAAAGATGGCCGAAATACATGATCAAACTTTTCCACTTAAGTATGTACTCACTTCTCAAAATCGTGCATTTCTAAAGTTTCTGTAACTTTTTTCATAATAAATGAAGAACATTTGTATTGAATTTGCATCTTGACCTAGCTGTTAGGTGATATAACTTCTTATTGTGCATTGATCACAAAAATACATGATTGAAATTTGAAAACTTGGTTTCAACACTTTTTTAAATGAAAATATCCCATGTCACCTTCATTAATTTTGGAAAAATAGGAGTAATTCTAGAAAATTTAGGCCTTTAAATAAATTTAAAAACATATAATAACTCCCTATGCTATATAAAAGAAAAAAAACCATGTGCTACATTTTTCAAACTTACTTTAATATTAGTTTTTTGGCTTGAAACTGTCTCAGTCCTTCGTTTTCTGGTATAAGGGCGTAAGTCCAAAACTTAAAATTAGCCTAAAAGGGTACTAAAATTTTTCTGAGCCAAAAAAACATTTCAGAACTTTTAAACGGGTGTTTATACAACTTTTGAACCCTTTTTTGAAATTTACTGGTGTCCTGCATAACGAGAAAATCAGTTTTTTGCCTCTCCTGAAAAATTTGGATTTGTGGACTTAGGCCCGTTTAACAGAAACCAATTCAATTAATGTTTTATTTTTAACCATTCTTGTCCCGAAAACTAAATACAGTTTTTCTAATGCATTTCCGCGGATTTTCTTCAGTCGCCGGAAATTTTGACGCAATATTTTCGCTTGTTTCATACCTCATTGAAAAAAAATGAATTTAATAAACCCGATCCGAGATTCTGAATCGTTACAATTCAGGGATACACTTTCACTCAAATTGTGGTAAAAACGGGACGGAGAGTCAAGGAAAATGACGTGCAGTCCTCCCTTTGCGGCGATTTTAGCGGCGCGCCAGCCAGGGAGATCGCACGGGACGGGACCCGAGTAATTGGTGGAGTGTGGCACCCTTCCTGTATCCAAAGCCTCAACTGTCCCTGATGAAGCAACTATCATGAAGGTGCTGTGAAAGATGCAGCAATGAGAATGCTACAACCATAGAGTACATAGAGTCGTAACGTAAACAGGAGATCTGGCGCCATGTTCTGCTTGATAAATTCTGAGCCCGGTGTGCGCCGAGTTCGGGTCACTTTTTTGATACATGTTCGATACAAAATGGCGATGTGGTATACGTGGTGATTCCTATCTTCTATGTTTACCTCAGATTGCTGGGTACCCGTGTATCGCAAACAATCTATTATGTATCGAAAAAGTGTCCCGGCGTCACACGGGAGTCTCGGAATTCGGGACCTGGAAAATGCTTAAAAGTGGCGCCAGCTCACCCACTTACATTGCGACTCTAGGTACTCTATGGCGACAACATACATTCCATGCAATAGTTATCATATCTGGATGAAGCCTTACCAAAATGGGGTGATTTCCAACGGTGATGCCACATAAATCGTCTACTTTTCCAAAACGGAATGAATCTTCGCCGATGACGAACACCTGCATGAACTGCAATGATCCAACCTGAAAGCATCAAAATAAAATCTTTCAATTGGGTAACTCAAAATCAAAAATCTGTCAGCCATGCCATGCTTCAGCACTTTCGTAAAGAACTGTTCACTCATGTTCCGCTCAGGGAGTAGGCAAATCGTCAAAAGTCGACTGTTTAGCAGAGATTCCTTCCTTGAGCTCGGAATGTAGGGTTGACAAAAATCCTGCCGAATTTCCATCGCCAACTGTCTGGTGCGCAATCGGGAGCATCGATGTTCCTTTCTGCAGACTCACTGCACTCCCTACGCGCCGCAGGATTTTTGTCAACCCCCGCCTTTCGGGCCGCAGGATTTTTGTCAACCATCGCCTTTCGGGCTAAGCAGGAATCTTTTAAACTCAAACCAACTTAAACGCCCTTTTTTTAAAGGGAAAATCTGCATGATTTCTATTCTATTATTTATATGATTAGGAATTGTAAGTAATAAAGACCATAAGGAATACAAAAAATACAAATAAGGGGCCGTCCATAAATTACGTAAGGCTCTTATGGGGAGGGGGGGGGTCTATAACAGCCTTTCGGTGCCTTACGAGAGGGGAGGCCTCGGCCGAGCCTTACGTCAACTTTTTAGCCTATATTTCAAGAAAATGCAAAAATCCATTTTTCTTCAGGTTGATAATAAAATTCAAGATGAAATAGAGGAAATCAGGAAACCACCGATTGCTGACCGATCGAACCATGCCCTATATCATTTCTTTTGATTCCCACTTCTCCACTCATTCTCACGATGATGAGTGGTGACTTCATCCTTACGTCAACTTTGTCCTTTTAACTATTTACTCCCAAGGCCAAAAAAATCTTCAATTTTGCTCCGTATTTTTGTTTAATAAACTAATTATATCATGAATCTTTCCTGTGAACTTACTCCAGAAATTTAGTTTCACTTATAAAAATTGTGGCTTAAAAATTTCATTGTTTTCTAACGGGAAACGTAATGCTTCGATCTACGATAGGTAACTGAGAAAAAAAAGGGGGGGGGGGTTATTCGAGCCTTACGTAATTTTTAGAGGGGGGGGGTTAAGGGATGCCTTACGGTGCTGCACAAGGAGAAGTATGGGGGGCCTAAAAATGGGGAAAAGGTCTTACGTAATTTATTCTAAAGGATGTTAACTGAACACTATGTTACATTAATTTCTGTCTGGAGTCTGCTTTCTCCTCCAAGAAAAAACAAGTTTATTGTACGGCCCCTGTATACCCTTATACAGGGACCCTGGACCTGGACCTTGGATCCAGAATTTTCTCTGAAGCAAGAGGAGCCCTTTTCAATTACGTTTCAATCAAAATGCAACCCTCACTTTTATTTTTTGGAAAAAATAACCCTTCGATGCCCTACGCGGCACCTAAAAATAAAATCTGGGCAGTAAAACTTTACCCAATTGTGGGCGCGAACCCGTAGTGTATAATTAATGGACCAGGCACTTATACGCTTGGGTGCCGTCGGCTAGCTGCCAGGATAGGCGTAATTGCCAGTACATAAGGCAGATAAAGTTCTTGCTTTCTCCACTAGAGCTGAGAGTAGAGACGCATCGGTGACACGCTCTTGCTTACTGATGATCTGCGGCAGGATTTTTGTCAACCCAATCCTTCCGAGCCAAGAAGGAATCTCTGCTAAACTCAAACGCCAATCGTCAACAGGTGTAAAAGTGACAGTAATGTAGATTTGATGAATGTACTTAATATTAGCGATAAAAAGTTACTTACGTGAAATAAATTTCAGATAGAAGAGGAGAGAGAATCACTGAAATTTAGCAATTTAGCACTCGGCAGCAACATGAGTAAAAGCAAAACATAACCAAACAATTTATCAATTTCATGCATTGACGTATAATACAATCTAGACCGCGCATTGGGCCCGACTTTGGGCGGGGAAGGTAAGACAGCTAGGGGGGTAAAGACGCGCCTTCAGCTTAGTTGATACCGCCGGATATACGAGCTAAGTGTACCCGTATCAGGCAACGGCACTGGCAAGACTGGCATTTCCACGAATTCCACCATTGTCTCGCCGGTACACTTGCTGTGTGTTGCTGGGTTGCCTATCGTCTCGCTTGAATTTCGTAATGCGCGGTCTAGATTGTATTATACGTCAATGATTTCATGGAGTCAGCCAATGCAGAAAAAGATGTAAACAAAACACAGCTTACGTTGCCAATCTTGTTTAAAAGAAGAAGAACTTGCTTGTCTCTGATTGGTTGATATTCCCCGCTACTTGTAGATTTTCACATTCAGATATAACTAACCAATTAAAAACGAGTAATTTTTAAAGACATGCGGCAACATTCTGTATCCTTTGTTATCATAGTGTTGAGTTGTTATCATATTTCGTCATAATCTTCCAAAATAAACTCTCCGAATTTTGTGACAACTTCTTGTGCTTTTTATGTTCCTCCCAAACTTTTTGATTTTTTGTGTATGTTTTCATTCTCATTTCATTGAGACAGGAGGGTGTCAATGAGATAGTATCAGTTTTAGCTCATTTGAGTTTGTCTCAGCACTTTCTTCATTCCGTGACAAAATGTTTGATGGTTCAACGCTCGAACATGTTCACATTTACCTGAGCAATGTGTCAACCTACTATATTTTGAGTATAATTATTTCATTGCTGTCAGTATTTGTCACTATTTATTATAAATCAAGAACTCTTGTCCCAACCGAAGAAAGATCTACTCCGATCACCACTGATTCCTCAAAGCAAGAGGTTAGAATTTTTTTTAATTTTCATTGCATTCAATCACCTCAAGCGTCCAAGAGTTTCTGCATCATTTTTTTTTGTTGCGCACCGTGCCTTAAGCCACCAGAAAATATGTGTTTTATCAGATTTTGATGGAAAATCGAAGCACCTAAACGGGGAAATTAATCATAAAATGGATCGCCCAATTTTTACACGCATCTCTCCTTAAAATTAAATTATAGACTTTCCGTGATATATATTGCTATATGCATCAAATTTTGAAGTAATCAAATGAAATGTGGTGCTTAAAATCATGCTTTTCCCAGAACAGGGGGAGCAAAAACCTCTTGACTACATATGCGACCCCTGTGCAGCGCTTAGTTGCGTGCAGAACGGCGTAAACCATTGAAAGACTGTAGTCCTCGCCAATTATGTTTACACACTTTTAGACTGCGTCAGAAGATCCGCTTTCTTGTTCCTTGAATTTAATATACAGGAACGTCTGATCATTTACAGGTACATGTCAAAGTGACACCAGGCGATCTTCTGTCTCATTCCACAAGTGTGGATACTTATTTGGTGTGGACCAGTGTGGACTCCAAAAAATTACATCAATATTATTATTCTGAGTTTTTATCCTTTCCCAACAAGGATTGTTGGGGGGAAACGGTCACCCGAATCTTGTGTATATTGGTCAGGAGAGAGGCTTTCGAAATACTTTTGCCACTTCTCATTGATTTTTCAGTCTAAAATCTAGAAATATGATAAAATCCCATTCATATAGCATGTAACATTTTAAGTTTAGTGTTAGTGTGTACCTTACATGTCCCAAAAAGAAAGTAAAAATCATAAAATTTTTCGCTGAGCAAGTTTCTCCTTAAATCTCTAATCTAAGCTTTGTTTTCAGAATCCAGATGAAGATTCCATGTTATCAAATATGTCACCTGTATTGATCAAGCAGTTTTTAAAAGCTCAGGTCCCTCAAAAGCTGTTGACAGAGGATCAACTTTCGGAAGAAAAGAGGTAGGTGTTATTTTTAACTCATGTTAAGTCTGCAATCTGCATTCTGTCTCCTGTGTCAAGTGGCGGACGCAAGTTTGCGACAAGTTATTAGTTCGCCCCTATCTCGCTCATTCCTGGCCGAGTCTTTTCTTTTTGCTTAGGTGTGACTATCACCACTTGTTTTTGTTGCTTTTTTTTTTTTTACTTAATAAATGATATACCATCTCAGTGTGAACCACAGTCACGCATAACGTCACCAGTCAGACTTTCAATCTTTCATATCTCTGCTGATTTTGAAAATTTTTCATTCGGGACAGAGCCATTTTCCCTTCTACACCTTCTCACTTCAATTTTTAATGCTATCTCATTTTCGATTTTAGGGTTGCCGTCCCCTCTAATAGCTTCCCTCTGTAGCACTCCTCTAATCACTTAATTTTTTTTTCAGGGTAGAAAAAAAGCAGATGGAAGCCATTTTTAAGCTTATGCAAGAGCAGCAGAGCAAATTTCAGATAAATTCAATGGATGATCTGCAGGAGCAAATGCAGCTGTACGGAGTTTGAGTCTACATTGGAAGTGACATTTCACCACCAATTTTAAATTATGACACTATGGTAAGATTTATTGTCAATCCATTGGAAGTTCTGTAGACTGGCAAAGAGGTGCAGAATCCATCCATTTCTTCAGCGATTACTTACTTCATATAGGTAGTTGGCTTGTTAGCCTGCCTTCCCATCCTTTGGTCCGAGGGTTTTTTCCTGTAGGAAATGAGTCGACAATAATTCGCAGAACAAAAGGCAGAAACAATGAGGAATGTAATGAAATACCTTGGTATCAATTACTGAAGTTACAATTACCTTACAAATTGGCAATGAAACTCGAGAAAAAAAAATGGCACTACCCTTGACAATGTAAATCTTGTGTCCTGTTCTGTTTCGAACGACAATCGTTTTAAACCAATCATCAGTATTGCACTGTATTTCTTCTAATTTGTTCTAGTGTTGTCGTTTTCAAAAATATTGTCTTGAAATTCCTCATCAGTATGTTGGAAATTGGGTTTTTTTGCAATAACATAGATTTTGCAGAAAATTTTGCTCAGCAAAAATGGTGTGTGTTTATCTAGGTTTACCAGCTGTATGCAACCACACCACCTCTTTTTGTGTCATGTGCCACCTACAAACATTCAGTGTTTTCATTACCTCTGACATTTTTTGTTTGAAAGATCGTATGTACATTCAACTCCAAATTTTTCTTTCTTTCTTTCCTAGTGGTTTGATTTGGACCTCTAGATGAAGCCATAGTTTGGAGCAGCATTCATAACTTCTGAAAATTTCATTGGTTCGAAGCACAGCTCTTGGTATGCATGAGAATTTATATCCCACTTTTCTTGTTTTCTATTGTTTACCATAAGAATAGAGATCTCAGTGATGTATGAAAAGATCTGTAATAACTAACTCGAAATGGTTGTCATCAGTTTAGATGCGATTCAATTTGATCACCTCTAAGGTTAGATTTTCAGAATATGCTTTTGCACTCCTAGCCAAGGAAGCTTGAAGTTGATGTACTGGTGGATTCGATGTCCATCAACTGTGTCATCAGTTACTTGTCTTTCCTCAATTTTTTTTTCTTTTGCAATTCTAATACTATGCAAGATACACAGTATCGATGGCTAAAGTTTGAAACCTTGTACCTTCGTTTGTGAAGTTGCAGACTTCCTATCATATTTTATATTTCCTTTGAATAACTAGTGAATGTAATTTTCTCAAAAACTTCCTCAATTTTTTCTCTCTGTTAAAAGAATAGTCTGTATAAATTCAAGCAATGAAGCGGCCTTGTTTCTTTTTAAAAAAATGAAACAGCTCAAATTTTGAAGTACTGCAATAGAGAAACATGGTTTCGCACTTCAGCCATTGATATGACTGAAAGAACGTGTGAAGCTAGTCAGAGCCTGCAACTCTGTAGAAAAAAATCTTCTTACAAGGCAGGTACTTCCTTCGAAGAGAAAGCACAACGAGTATACTGCTTGTTTTTACCCTCCAAGATGCAATAATCAAAGACAATGCAACATGTGCCTGATACTGTTCGTGGAAGACAGGATTTATAGAATAGAGCTCTTAAAGGTCAAAGAGATATGCAATTTAGTACTTTTGTTTTTGTAAAAGTTCGGGAGGAACATAATGGTGCTCTTGGTTTTCTCTGAAACAAATTCCCAACTCAAACAAGGGAAGCGAGAAAGTAAAAAATGCTCTCATTTTGGAAGCTCTGATGGAGGAAATTATGCACCTACACTATGGTGAGAAATCACCTCTATGCACCAATGTTCCTCGCAAAATTTTCCATGAGGAAAATGAAAAAGTAACTAAATCGCAAATCCCTATGGCATGCAAGAGCTGTATTGCATTATCCTCATGAATGGACTTTTTTTTGTCAAAGTTTTTTTATGTTTTTTTACAAAAATCTACAAGCAAATGCATCTCAAAGGCATGTCGCAGATGATTAAAAATAATTTTAATTTAGTAGGTAAAGAATGTCTGAAGTTAAGTCAAAGTTCCTTTGAGCATCGTGTCAAGAACGAGCAAAAGGACATCAACTCATGAATTATCCAGATAAACAACGCACAAACCTCTCGTACAAAACAAGATCTAAAGTTTAGTCTAGTATCAGAATACTGTGGGTCTAAATTTTGTAGATTTTATACCACTGTAAATATTTTAAGATTATATGTCTGCCTAAAACAAGTCCCATTATCAAGAAAACATGTGAGATCATGAGCCGACCCTGGAGCATTGATTAAAGTTTGCGAAGCTCCTTCTCTATGAAACATATGTATTAGGGTCAATGTACCAATTTAATCTTCTGCATTCATCATGACAGCTTTAATATGTGAATATGCATTTTTAATTAATGATTATGGATAGATATCACAAATTGAATATCTAGTTGTAATTGTTTGTACAATAAATGTGTTTAATTTTTATTAGAAACGTTCGTTTTCTCTTTTCACCACCTTACTTGCAAGTTATTCCCCTCTTTTTCATTTAAAGAACATGAATAATTGATATTATGCTGAGCCCAAGTAAACAATTAGAAAAACTACTAAATAACTGGCGTATGGATGTAGACAAGAGGAATTACTTTGGGTATGAATTGGGTCAGTGGACTTAAAAAGACATTTCTAATGTGGCGGATAATGTGAAAACTTTTCTTATCGATTTTTCTATTTGGTTGATATTCACTTAAGTATTCACTACGGCCATTTCATCAGGTGTTTAAAAAATTAAAATCATTACATTTTTGCTATCGCAAGTCTGGTAGTTATCATTTAAATTCTGCATCCGCATTTGCGGTATGAAGTAGTAGTGAATACGTGAAAATCGACCAAATAGAAAAATCTGTTAAAAAAGTTTTCACACCATCCATGATAAATATAACCAATTCAGTAAACCAAAGAAGTGAAATTCCTAACAGCCTGAATTTTTGGACAAAATAACATAATGACATTCAAAAGTGCCCTCATGAAATCTCATTGCAAAAAGCGGATGGGTTAGAGAAATTAATGGAGAATATCATTGTTATAGACATCACAGCCTTTATTATACAATATTTTCTTCTTTTTTAAAAAAATCAAATTTACAGGGAGAGATTTTAAAAATAAATCTTAAAAAACTATGTTACAAGTTTGGATTATGTTACCAAATGTTTTAATTCTTTAGGTAAAATAGAGGACAAAAAATAACAAATTAAGTACAAGAACAATTAAAACTGCGTTATAGTTTTTGAGAAAATAAGAGACTAGTCACCTTATCTCTTCTCTTAATTATAACGAATCTTTCTGAATTATAATAGTTCACTTTTTCAGTCAAAAAGGTGGAAACATTACGATTACAGTAAGGCAACTCACTCGGTATGGCAACAATCAGTTCAAATTTACTTAAATTTCTCATGTTTCAATTTTGCTTTGAGCAGTGGGTAAATTTAACGCAATTCCAACCTAAATCTTCAAGAGCGGGTACTTTGATCTGCGGACCCATGATTCATCTATTTCTTATAAATCGTGTAACTTTATTTTTTTAATACTGATACATGATTGCACTAACCTGCGGAACTCGCAACATAATTTTATCAGGTTTTTTTAGGCTTAAAATAAGGCACTATTCGCACCTGTAAATTTTTTTTGCTTCTTTTAACATAAATATTTAAAGGTAGGTAAGATGTACGTAGGAACAATGGTCATACTTAAGATTTCTTAATACAAAGGGTTTTGCCAGAGGAAAACTCCCAAAATTTAGAATGGAGTACAACAACCATATTGGCGACTCAATGCCATATCTCTGACTAAAACGTAAACTTTTCTTCATTAAATCTAAGCCCCTTGAAACAGACTCATCACCCTCTGAGCTAGTACGGTTTAATGAGCCATTGAAAGCAATAAATCCTTTCCCTGAATTTACTAGGACAACTTTCCGACTGAACTAGGAGACATCTCATTTCTATAGTACTTGAAGAACATAGGTGATTGTAAAGAAGTTTTCAAAGGCACACTTCTCTTCTCTTTTAAAAAATAGGTTCATAAATAGTATAGAAAATTGTGAATATGACTTTTAAAAACCTCACAAGATTGCAAAATATGGTTTTTTTATCAAGCACAGTTGGAGTACCGTAAAAACTTTCCTACATGTTATGCTTCACCAAAAACTAGAATCTTAACTCTCAGTATGTATTAAAATTTCAGTCATGAAACCATCGGATACAGACCAGACAGCTTAAATTCAATCAAGATAAAACTAACCAAAATTTGAGTGAGTTTTTGTGCCAAAATTCTCTAGTTATTTTTTCCCCCTTTTTTCAGAAAGCTGAAACGTACATTAAGTTTTGAAACAAGTATTGCACAAGTAGAGCAGCTCTCCATAAAAACAGCGTGAGCGCATAGTGAGACCACCTTTGATTCTCAAGAAAGTTGAAATTCCTTTAGAAATAGCTGGAAGAAATGGACCTTTGAAGAGACTGAAACTGAATTTCTCCATACCTCACAAAATAGGTATTTAGGAAAGGCAATATAGGTGTTTTTGAGACGTAACTGAAGAAGTAGGGTAACAATTTGATATGCACATTTTTACCGATCATAAGTACAGGGCACTTTGCTGTAACAATGTTGAACATACCTTGTTTTTCTTAATTCTCTAGAATAAAAGCTCAAGAATAGGCCACGGTTACATTTCAATCTTATCACAAACGGAAACACAATGTTGGCTGCAATCACACTTTAAGGCACGAACTTCAAAATCATCCATATCACAGGCACCATTTGGATGCATTTCTGAAAAAGAGGAGCCTAAAATAGGAAATTAATTAAAATCAATATTTACGTCTCTTTTCAGCTCATTTCCTTGCTATCCACTTTCAGAAATGAGACTACAGACCAACAAGGACAATTACATAGAGGTATTTTTAATCACGTAACGATGAATCATAATATGCATATGATTTTAGGAGTACAAATTCTATAAAAACTTTCCAAATTACAATCTTGGTTTAGAAAATTGACAAAGTTCAATTTTCAATCAGACCCAGAACACAAATTTTGTATGGCAGTACAAATATCAGTTGTTGAACTAGAAAAGCGTGTATCTTGCAGGACATTTCAAAATTTCCAATTGTAAGTATTTTATTTTTTTAAAATCGCAAAAAATAATATCGCTAGAAATTTTCAGATTTAATAGCTACAGAAACAAGAAAAATAAAAAAAATTTGCCAAGTGATTACGATGGGCTTTTCCATTAAAATAAAATGAGACCAAAATTTGCGATGTTGTATGAACATCCATTATTGTATCATAAACTGTGAAAGGCAACTACTTACTTGCTAAAAACGTAATTTTGCAAGTTACGAAATGAAAATTTTAGGCGATGAGCAAGTTCCATACATTTGAGCATACACTGTTTAGGGCGTCTATCACGGTGTTCATTGAAGAATCATTGTTTTTTTGTTTTTTTTCCAAATATATGTAGCTTTCATGCTAATGTTATCACATCTACCATGACTGTTGGATTTAGGCCACAGACATAAAATAAAATTCTTTTTGAATACTGATATTTATATCACATGGAGGCTCTTAACTAAAAGCTATCAATAAAATGAAACACTCAAGAATATTTTGATCTAATTGAATACAAAAACAGATAATGAAAGAGATTTTCTGAAAAAATAAAATAATACTGAATACACGTTATTTTTACACTTCAGATTAGAGTCTAAAAGTAATATTGCTTTTGACTTGAATTTCAAAGATAATAAAAAGGAGGTTTTCCTGAAATTTTAGGTTCCTGCAGAATAGAAAGGAAAATTACCAATTACAAATTTTTTCTTTGTACACCATGCTTTCATGACTTTTACACATGAACAGTAACGTATTGCAGATCACACGTAACTTTGAAGCTATAGAATCACAGCAAGTTTATGGGGGGGGATTCAGATGTAGAGGAAATAATCTAACCAAAACGCAGTATGGTAAAAGTTACTGTAGAGAAAATGAAAGCCTTTGCTTCCAGTTGAAAAATATAATTTTTCATGAAATAAATGCTGAAGACAGAGAAACAAGTTAAAAAAGGCTAAAAGGGAATAATCTTCAGAATTAAATTGATAAAATGAAAATTAATGTGGCACTTTCCATAAAATACCAAGATGAACTGCACTTTAAATAGCCAAACATTAAATGACTTCACTAAGAGTTTGGCCCGCTTGAGGTTGAGGATGAGGATGGTGTACACTTCACTTCTAGCAGCTGCGGGTAGTTTTCTACTATGTTCAAAAGGATTCCATCTATATAAGCTCTAAGTTGAGAGTTCACTTCCTGTTGCTCTTTCAGCGCCGTTTTCATCTGGATATAAAAAGTAGTAATTAAAAAATTATCATAATGAAGAATGAATATGTAAAGATGCAAAGATCGGACAAAAAATGTCAAGTAGTTACATAAAAGTCAGAGGGCATCGAATTCTTAATTCTCCTTGGAAATGGAAATTTTTGGAGGCAGAATTCACCACGATACTTTGAAATTTTACTGCTCGGAGTTGCCAAATTGTTTTGATAAAAATGAAGTCTCCCAGGATCTTGATCGTCATTTTCTAAATCTGGAGGGAACTTTTTTTTTAATCCAAGGTTAACAAAAAAGGAAATAGAAATCGAAGCATTCAGAATGACCAAATAATCATGGATAACAACTTACTATGTAGCACGAAAATTCCTCAAACTTAAAATGACGACTGTCATAATACCTATGAGGGATTATCCCCTTACAAACTTACCCCAACAAACCCTGGTAGAGGTTTGATCATTGAATTCTTCTTTAAGATTTCATTATCTTTAATTGCATAATTCATGATATGAGTGTTTAGAAATTTTTATGACTATACAAAATTAAGAATAAAGTAATTTCGTTTGTATCTTTATTTTTGTTTCGTTTTATTTATTAAAATTTGAGGTTGAAGTTCCTGATGTTTTTGCTTAATTTTCTTACTTTGTGCTTCTTGTTATATTAAGTGACCTGATATTCATACATAGCAAGTGTAATGTAAAGCCTTACCTTTTGAGTTTGAAGGCTGCATTCTCCAGACTAAAAAATTATACGAGAAAAAAAAATGAAAATAAAAAGCAGCATATTAGTGAATAGGCACTAAAAAGCAAGTACAAATATTTACAACTGGATTTTGCAAAAGCTTCTTTTGATAAAAGCAGTGCAAAAAAAAAAAAAAAAAAAAAAAAAAAAAAAAAAAATAAACCAAAGTAGCAATCATTTTAAACTCACGTCTCTTTGATAAAATGGTGTATATACACAAAATCAATGCAAAAATAATAATATCTGAGTTTGAGAAATATAACCATAGACACTATCAGTGGCAGCTTTTTGCAATTCAGGGGAAAAAGCAAAGTTGTCTCTGCCAAGCTTGCTTTAATAAAGGGTTATGAATTTTTTTTTAATATTTTATCACCTCTTTGGCACAGACCTTAATAGTCACGTAAGTAAATTGAAAAAATGTTGTTGCGACTTTCCTTCTTCAGTATCCAGACTTAATGTAAATTTTTTAAAATTAATTGTATGATAATTTTATCATGGATATACATCTAGTGCTCAAAATCATGAAAAGTTAAACATACATTACAACTTTACCTGGATCTTATGATAGTGCTCCACTTTGATAATAAGCGTGCAAAAATTTAAAACAACAGAGTGCAAATTAAATTGGAATGATCAAACGACTTGATTAAATGTTATACTTACATCATCTTGAGTCATGGCTTCAAGCTCGGCTGCAAGACTGTTGGATCCTGTCAATAGAGTTCTGCCTTCTTCGACACTTCTACTCAGGAGGAGGGCTTGGAGTTCATCGTACTGCTCTTGTAAGTCTGGAAAATAATTGGAGGATTGATTATTTTGGATATTGGGAAAATTATGAACTCAAAGTCATGAGTGGCAATGGAGAATTCGCACGAAAATTTTTTATTGCTTCATCTGAAAGTGCTTAAAGAGCTGATTTCACAATATTTTTCATAATTTTTTTCTGATATGGGAAATGGTATAAAAATAGATTTAAAGTGAGAAAATGTATGGCCTAGTGGCGTCATCTGGCAGCATTTCCCAATTAAACACACGTATTTTAGCAAATTAGATCATTTTATCATATTTTCTCCAGTACTTGTTCAATTCATGAACCAAGGGTATTCTTGTGTTCAGTTCACGCGGTTGTTTCCACTTAAGCACGAAATTAATCAAATTTCAGACACCTGCAAATTCTCTATTGGGAAGCTAGGAAGGTCTGCCTCTTCGAGAATGTTACAAGGCCCTTTCAGAAAATAGGGGTGTTTTCCTCCCTTCCTTTTCGCCTTTTTTCACGGAACTCATTTTAGGATTACATGAATGTATCAGTATATAACTCTGTATGTTTTTTCCGGGTCAATTTTACTCTGTTACAAATTTTTTTCAATTCCTTGTAGCGTTTATAAAATTATTTAAAAGAAATCAGTTTTTGGCACAATAAGATGTGTGGTAGTCAAAAAGTGGGGAAAGCGGACTAAAAGTTAATGACTCCTGTCGAATTCTCGTTCAGAAGTCCATTGATCATTTTAAGACTCAAGTCAGGCTAGGAGTCTGTTACGGGTGATTTCCTTAGCTTCAAAGGGGGTCCACGAGAGGCCCCCTTGGAAAATTTTGAAATAACTGAGCCGTCTCAAGAAAATTTTAGATTTTTACATTTCAGCATTTGAAAAGGGACAATAAGCATTACGTACATGATGATAAAAAGAGGTTGTTCCAAAAACGCCGATTTTGGCCCCCCCCTGGATTTGGCCCAAACTTTGCTCAGATGTTGTACTAGGTGTCCTCGATGCTTGGGCAAAATTTCAGCCCCCTCGGATAATTAGGGGGGAGGGGGCAGGGGGGCAAAGTTGCAATTTTTTCAAAACTTTAAAAATCGATATCTCGCGAACGGTTTGAGTGTAAGTGTTGCGGTTTGCGCTAAANCTTTGTGCAAACAAACTTACTTCTATATTGTGTTCTCAACACATCTAGCTGTTGTTGGAGTTCTGTTGCAACATTGTTAGGACTATTTAATGCAGCAATATGAGCATTTCTTTCTTGCCGTAACTGCTCTAGTTCAGCACTAAGTTCTTTTAAAAGCTGTTGAAGAGAAAGAGAAGAAGAAAAAAATTAAACTTGAATTTATTGATAAATTATTTAATTTGTGAGTGTTATTTTCATTACCAAGGAAAGATATAATATTATGAGGCAAATTGAATGAAGTTAAGCAGAACAGCCACATCTACATAGGCTTGCTTCAAAATCTTTTCTCCTATTTATAGTTTTTGAAATGACAGCAAGCAACTCGAGCATTGTTAAGATACTTCTTGCCCAGACGATGGTTATTTCCACAGCACTTGAGCAAAAATGTTGGTTTGTTTCCTTTCAAAAAATTAAATCAGGAGATTGGATTTTGAAACAACGCAACGTAGAAGTCAAGGTCTTGCTTAACTCTATCAAAATTAGTCTTTCAGTCTTAGACAAACAGCATGTGTTCATAACAGGCCTACAGTTTTACACTTTCAATGCAGATGACTATCAAAACTGGGTGCCTGAAGAAATTTAGATTTGGAATTTTCTGACTTTTCCAGATTTCCTTGGCAGACGCTTAAACTAGGTTATTATATATTATAGGAATAATTGATGTAACATTAAAGATCATCGCGATTTGTTCTTTGCTTCATTTATACTACCCTGCATTATTATAAAAAAAATGATGCGTCTGTATTGAACTGACACTCCAGATCTGAATCTTTTTTTCTAGCTTTAAATAAAAGGTATGTAAAGTGGAAACCTTTATTCACTTTTCAGATTTTAGGTCATGAAAGAAAACAAACCTGTTCCTGAACACGACTTTGTTCCATGTACTTTTGTTCCTGGCGCTTGAAGAATTCAATTTCTTCTCGCAAAGTGATGACATTGCTCTCTGCATCGATTAGGTTCTCTTCAATTTTCCGTTTCTCTTCTTTAGCTTTTTCTGCTAAACTTCGACATCGAAGTGCTTCGTCTCGCAGGTTTTTGTTCTCTAACTCTACCGTTTGGAGTCTGGGAAAGTTTAAAAATAAAAATTAATTGGGTAAAATCGTAAGAACCAACAAATATCCTACCGTTCACATTATAATCTACTTTGTGATAAAATAATGCACCATGATTCTTTAAGATCTTTTCTAATAAGCGCACACATCATATTTGCTCTGCTTTCACTTTGTCTGCCTTTAGGAGACACCAGACGAGAAATCTTCGTGCTTTTAACAGGCGAAAACAATTCCTTAAAAGTTGGAAGGAGCAGGGTTTTGTATTATTTTACAGAAAATTGGAAAAATTGGGCTGCCCCCTACCTTCCCTTACAAGAAAGTAAAATAATTGAAGTAGTACTTAAAAATTATCTAAATTTGCAGAAGAGGAGTCAAAGTTTTCTCTTCTTCCTTTAGTTTATCATTTTTTCTTCTTCATTATTATTTTAATGGACCTCAAATCATGCTCTGCCCACGTTTGGTAAAAAATGGCTGGACTTCCCTACAGTATCTAGGTGGATAAAATTAAAATTCTCTTTTCTCAAATGAGAGCAAGCAATTGTTAAAATGTTCACAAAGTTTCTGAATCCTTACTTCTTTTTCTTACATGGTCAGTGGTACTTACTTGATGGCACAATTTTCAACTTGAAGCTGATTCTCACGGTCGACTCGAGCAACAAGCTCCCGATGTCTTTTTGCTTCTTCAGCTAAACGTTCCTCAGATCTTAATTCAACTTCACGAAGTTGCTCTTCTAACATTAAAACTCTGAAAAAAAGAGTGAAGCATAATTTGAGTGCTAAATTATTGAGAAAAACACAGTTGTATCAATCATTAAAATTTGTATTAACCCTTTCAGAGAAAATTCTGTAAAATTACATTTTTTTTAAAACTCAAAATATTCTTTTCAACGAAATAGAAAAATTCAAAAATTTTCAAAGTGGCTACATCATTGGTTCTCCCCATAAAAATTGAAGTATGGTGGATATATTGACATATTGCAGTGGATTCCACAGAATTATTGGTTGTAAAAGATTTCAATGGAATATGGCTTCAGTTGAACAAACACTGCTCGATACTCGCATGCTTTGAAAACTAAATTCACACATGTAAAGTCTGTACCTGGCTTGGAGGGCCGCATTTTCTTGCTTGGCTCTCGTGTAGCGTTCATCCGCATGAGTTTGATTATCAGCAAGAACACTCATTTGCTGCTGCAATAATTCCACCTGAGAACAAAAAATAAAGACTGTGAATTTTTTGACAGTAAGGTGAGAGATGAAATACAACAACAGAAGAGCTTTTGTTTAATGGTTCATTAAGCTTATTCCGGCTGGAAATAAACTCATTAACTCAAAATTTCATAAACTCAAAATGGCTTTCGTCAAGTATCGCGGTTATTCAGTTAAAAAATTATTTTCGCTCCGACAGAAATTTGCAGCATACCCGTGCTATCGTGCTAAGGAAAAAATACGTGTGAACCTTCAGGCATTGCCGAATTTTCTCTGATAAAATACGGATTTATCGGGGAGCTTGTAAATATTTTCTTTAAAAAATTTCAGACTATTTTGTCCACAGTTAATCTGAAATACATCTGAAAATTTCAAGAAAAACTATGCGTACATTCCGTCAAAAGTACATTTTTTATCCGGGGAAATTTGGCACCTCTCGTATGTTCATAGGACGTTCTTCTTTAACACGGAGGCATGACAGGGTGAGTTAATTTTATTTGACTTCAACCTCGTACTTACTTTATCACTCAACTTCTTGACGATTTTCCACACTTCTTGCTTCAAAAACCCGTTGATTTTCGTCGGTTTTACCGTCGGACTTGCCGGGTTGATCCACGAGAGGTTCTCGTTGCAGTTGAAGATTTCGTCGAGGAGGTCTCGCGTTTGGTCGACATTAGAAATTTCGAACTGACCCTCCCAAAGATCGTACTCTAACTCGTTGCCGTTGTCCTCTTCCGGATCGGCCTCATCACTTATACTCATTATCAGACACATCAAATCGTCGTCCGATCACTTTTCATTTTACACGAAAACCACCCTTCTTCATCGTTTTTCAACTAACACACCATGTCGACACGACAGCATCACGAACATGCCTTATTCAGGGTTCATATCAGCTTTTCACAATCAAAATCGAAGGAGTTCAAAATGATAGAAGCAAGGAGTTTCAAGGATTTTATAAGGCTTCCTGCAAAAGTTTTCGAATATACTTTTAGGAAGGTGCTAAAAAACTTTTAAAACACAGTGTCTGAGACTGGAAAAAACCGGAACTTATTAAAAAACGAACAATTTTCGGGAAAATCATGGAATCTGATCCAGAAACCAGAAATCTCTTCTTCTACTTTTTTTTCTTCTCCTCCTCTTCTACGGTGGAAGAAGAGATTCCCGATCGAAATGTCGTAGCTGAATCCTTAAATCATCAGAATAATAGAGAAGTTTTCATTGACTGGATAGCATAAACACAAGGAACGCTTTTGGAATTGAAAATTTGAATGTGAAACAAAAAATGAGTTGAAAGATTTAAAAAAATCAGTATTCATAAGTATAACTCCGGAGCATTATATAGTTTCTCCCGAGAAAAGCCCGGGAAAGTGGAGAAAACTTCGGTTTCTCATCAGGAAGATATCAGGGAATGGGCATAGTCAAGAATTATGGACACAATGATTTAAAATAACAGGTTTTGCTCATAGTGAACGGCGTGGGAAAGCATGAAAGCTGAGACAATTTCTCGGTGACTATGATTCATACAGCTTAGACTGCCATAAAACATGAATTTATTCCGATTCTTTCCGATATACCTAAGGCTGGCTCACATCACTTCGAATAGGGGATTCGCGTGTCACCACTAATTCACTACGTAAAAATTGGCCGGAAACAGAGCGAAGTACGAGAATTTACGCGCAAAAAAGGAGCCACGATAACTTGCGAGAGACGAGGCACAAAATGAAGTAATTGACGGACGCAAGCGACTGTTCACTTGAATTGTTTGCTGATGATAGGATAGGAGGGACTTCAAGGTGGAGAAGGCAGATGGGAGTGTCCGCTATTATAAAGGAGTGTGAAGTAGGAGCTATGACAAAAGATAGGCTCTCATTTAGGTTATGTTTTGTGCTTATTAGCCTGCACAAATACGACGCGCCATAAATATTTTGAAATTTTTGAAAAATCCTACGGAAAGAGAAGTCTTGTTGATATCGTGCCAGTAATACTTCGAAGATAGGTCGAATAGATAGACAAGAAAATAAGAACACTAAAAAACGTGGCCCGAAGTGTATGTAAGAAGGTAGTAAAATAGTGCAGGGCCCACATTATTGTGCGGGGAAAGCGAGGCCGAAAAATTCAAAAATTTCGATTAGAGTAAAAGATCTGAACCTTACTGAGAACCAGTATAAGACTGAGGGGGAGAGTGTTCAGCTGAGGCGGGCGCATTAGAATTTATGAAATTTCGGAATCGCTTCCCCAGCAAAATAGCGTGGGCCTACCGGCCTAGTACTTTTGTCCCACCTTGTGAGAATAGATAGAAAGATAGACAGTAACAGTTTTTCCGTGATTCAAGAAGAAGACTTTTTTGATTTAAGAGGTAAAAACTAGTCGTGTGAAGGATATAAAATTTATAGCCTCATTGATGTGTCAATGATATATTTGATTAGAAAAACTATACTTTAAGATTACAGGAGACTTGTAAATCCAGTGCACGGACATGTGAAGTGACTTTTGTGGAATTTCGAGAAAACAAGCTTTAAGTTACGCGCTTCGCGCTTCAGGGCGTTGGACCGCGAAAAGATCCGGAGCCGTAGCCTCCTAGTGTTTCGAGCGAAAGAGGGATTTTGCTGCGGAAAAAATTGAGATAAAGATACATAATTTTCGAACGGCCCTCAATCCAAAAATAGAGGGGGGGGGGAGGAGGAGGACAAAATTTGAGCGAAAAAAATGCAAGAAGCATGTTGGATGAGACCGTTGGAGCCGGACAGACGGGGCGCGGCGGTTTATTTAAGGTTAACTGCGGCGATTGGACTTGGCAAAATAGCGGGAGCATCTGGTGGACGGGGGCAGAAAGCTCCATGATTGCACCCCACCCGAGAGCCGAGAGCCGAGATACATTCACAACTTCCAACTTCCTCTTTGACGTTCGTCACTCATTATCCGACCTAACAACGAACGCGACGTTGGCAGCCTAGTCCGAGTCCGCCCTCTTTCGCCCATTCATAAGTCCCGAGTGATCAAAGTTGCGCGGGAACAACGGTCCTCTCATGGTCTTTCGTGGACTTTTCATGGACTGATTCAGTGGCTACGTAATCATTGCGATCAATAGAGAGGTCAGGGGAGGAGGGGGAGGGGGGCTATAAGGGAAAATGTCCTAAAAATCTAAAAAAACTGACGTTGTTTATGGGAAATCGACGGTGAAACTACCAGACAACGAATATCGTTTTACGACGTTGCAAACTTCCTGTCGCACTTTTTATCTAAAAATGGAAAACTACACTGAACGTCAATTTTTTAAAACTTCCGTAATTTTTCTTCTCTGTGCGAGGAAAACTCTGTGAAAACTTGAAGGAATGATGTAGACTTGTTTCCCTTCAAAATAAAATAAAATGGGAGCAGAAATTTTTCAACACGATAATCGAAATATTTGGTCTGGTATTTTCAACGTCAATATGCTGTTTTTTAGCCGAAGAACTTCAAAATACAAGCATCGTCCCATTTGGACTGAGTCACGGACTGAGTGCCCCTACGAGCACTGATTCATGCGCCATGGAATGACGGGAGCGCCTTCAATTTTTAGCACGCATCACGGATGTCCATAGAGCGCGAATAGTTGCATCAAGGCGTTATTACCGATATCATCACCCTATGTTCGAATATCAATTGTAAAGCGCTAAGGAAAAAGGCCGTAGGAACACTCGAGTGTTGCCAAATTTCCTTCGAATAAATACGAATTTCCTTGAAAGCTTGTTAGGTCTTATTTGTCCAATTCTTAGAGAATTTTCATCCGTATTCACTCTAATGATTTTGAGAATTTCAAGGAAATACATATTTCTAACTTTCTTAAAAAAATAAAGTTTTGTCGGAAGAAATTCGGCAACGTCTGAGTCTTCAAACGACGTTTTTTCGCTGCGTCAAACTTGCTTCGACGGCAGCCAAGCCTAGCACTGATGCAAGATAATTAAACTTAACTGAGCGAAATAGATTAATTCAAATCACGGAACATTGAAATGGAACTCATTAGTTGGAAGTTTAAAGAAAAATCCTTCGATTTGTTACTTTCATCTGTACTCGAGCGTGCAACACTGCGGAGAGACCAGACGACTCTAAAAAAAGTTCTAGGCGCCATAAAACTTGATTCGAAGCCATGAAATACAACGTAAACACATGTTCGATTCGAACGGGTCGTCGTATAAATAAACGTTTCGCATCACACCTTCACCTTTTTGGCGGGGCAAGAAGAGAGGTGCAGCTATAAGATTTATCTTAATTTACTTTAGAATTTTCCATGGGTATTAAAAAATGGTTTATAAAAAAAAAGCAAGACTTCTTTCAGGTTTCAGCTGAAAGGTTCGGTCATTTTGAGCTATTTTAAAAGGCTAAAGTCAAATTAGTCAAGCAGGGTAAAATGATTCATTCTTGCCGAATAGCTTTGGAAATGAATGCAACCTCATTCGGTGAGGAAATGTTCATTTTCAGAGACCTAGTGCGAGACCTTTCTAAATCTGGAATTACTCAGATTCGGCTTTGAGATCGTAAAAATGTACTTACTTGGATTTGGGTATTTTAAAGATTCGAAAACTGTGGAACTTTACTAGAAACTATAATTTTTTTTTTTAATGAACGCCGGTGCCAGCTTGACATAATAACCCTGGTACAAATTGGCAGTAGAATCTGTGTTCCAAAATACCATGGACCAACGGCCGGCTGTAAGATTTCCAATAGTTTCTATAGCCGGCTACACAATTTCTTATAGCCTTTTATAGCCGATGGCGATTAAGAAACTCACAGCCAGGCGATAAAAAGTATGTTAAACGTCACTAATTACGGATGCTAGGACTTCGTGAGTTTATGGACCACTGCTCTCTTTTTGGGCCGTAGTATCTTGATTTATTTTGCAAGGAAAGCTCCGTGCTTTTGATGGATGCCTGCCATTCCTAATATATTAGAGCGCCTTCAATTTCTTATGATACTGTGCAATACCTCTGGTGTGAAATAGTTGCTTCAGACGCCGTGGCACGCTGCGTAGCGGCAGGCGGGCAGCCAGCGCGAAACGCGCCTACAAACCTAACAGGGATACTTCACGCGTTGCGCAATGCGTGACGTATCCCTGTTAGGTTTGTAGGCGCCAGTGCGTTGCCGCTCCGCTTTGCGTTCGGCTCTAATATTTAATCTGGCGGAGTCAGCGTTATTCAACTCATGATTTTGAAATGTTTGTACATCCTGTATGGATTATTCTCGTTTTAATTGATGAAAAAAAAATATGTGTTAAAGGAAAATATAACGTGTGTTTTGTAAATATTAAGGAGGTTCCGTATCAAACTTAATGATTTCCAAAGCACACGAATTTCTACACAATTTCTTATAGCCTTTTATAATCGATGGCGAAAAAGCAACAGCCAGGCGATAGAGTGTAAAGCCCGGCTATAGGAACTATAGCCCGGCTGCATAATTTTATCGCTTCGTATAGCCCGGCCGTATAATTTTCTCCGCATTCTACAGCCAGCTATATGATTTTCTGTAGCCTTCTTTAGCCGGCTATAAGAATTTCTATGGTATTTTGAAACGCAGCTCTTATCGCCAATTTTTACCAGGGAATCTTTGTGGGATGAATTCGAGGGTCGTTTTACCTCACAATCGAGAAAAAGGGTTTAAAAACTTTGAGGACATAATTATGAATAATTTGATGCAAACTGTGAGTTTTCCCAGCATAAAAAAAAACGGGAAGGCAACTGCCTACAAAAAGGATACGAATCATTCTTCCGGTATCCGAATCATCTATGGTCTAGACTAGCAATAAGCCGATAACTCTGAGCCGTGAGCAATTGAATTACTCACGTTATTGAGTGTAGGTAGCTCCGGAAGGAAGTAATGAAAGTGGAGTGGAGTGGCTTTCATAATCAATAAAAATAAAAAGTCCATGAGAGGCAGATAATTGTATATGGAAACGACAAAAGGAAAGATGTAAAACGAAAATCGATAAGGAGGTGGATGAAACAATAAACTTGGAATTCCATGACGGGCATCTGAACTCTCACGGCATTCCGGCCAGAGGGAAGGAAAAGCTATAACGGAAAGCTTTTAGACAATGTTTAAGACGATGTACCGGGTTAATGATTTTGTACTTGATTTGACAAATGCAGACCAAAGCAAAAGCGTAACCCTACATCAGCAAATATCATCAAAAACCAGATTTGCTGGCATGTATGTTTCACTTCCTCAGCGTATTTTGGAACGGAAAAATCAAACGAGTCGATCAAATTTTCCCCATTTAGTGAGAACAACAACTTTGTATCTCGTTGTCGTTACTAGAAATTCAAGTGCTCAAAAAAAAAAAAAAAAAAAAAAAANAAAAAAAAAAAAAAAAAAAACGAATCGGCGACGAGCAAAGAACTCATTGGGGCTGTCGCGGAAATCGTAACATTCTTTCGAAACGTGACAACGGTAGTCTGTCATTCGCAGCCATTTCTTTTTGACTAGAGCGCTGCTTCTGTCTGATTATTTTTTCTTGCCAAAAACAAAAAAGTAGACTGAAAAGTAGGCAGACAGAGATAAAACGAGAAAAACGAGTTTGCATCTCATGATGACTGGCAGATTTTGACTGATTAATGCAGACTTAATGAGATAATTCGGGGGTAAAAGATTTGAGCCGAGGAGAAAAATCAAAAAAAGATTAAGAGAGATCTCCGCAAATTAACTGAGAGAAACAAAACGAATGAAACTGGCAAAATAGAGTTAAAATATGTCAAATTCTAACGGCGTTACTCCAGCAATAAAGGATGTAAATGCAGGCGAATTAAAAGACAACGAGAATGAAATGTCACCTTCAAAACTTCCGGTGTCGGAATTGTGTTCTGTACGTAAATGGGGTCCCATTTTCATTTATTTTAACGATTTATAACTTTGTCAGTTTTTTTTTTTTTTTTTTTTTTTTTTTTTTTTTTTTTTTTTTTTTTTTTTTTTTTTTTTNAAAGTAGCTCCCTTTGACCTAGGAATATCCCCCAAGTTTCAAATCTTTACCTCAATTAGGTAAAAAGTTAGAGGGGGTGGAAGGGACTTTTGGATCACCCTGTATGTTCAATACGACTGCTATCATCAAATTGTAGTGTTTTGATTGATGTAAGATGAAAATATGGCCAAAGGAGATGATATGATTGAAGTGGATACAGTAAAGTGCAATTTCATTGTATAGAATTTGAGAGTAAAAAGAGAAATGCGAAATGCACTGTTCGAAGAAACGAAACGTATTAAGAGGCTACCGACTGAAAAAAGATAAACAAACAAACCGGGAACCACGGCAAGCACGACAAGATACAACAATTTCAGGACAGTCGGATTCAATTATTCATCAAACTACCATCGAACTGCGAACACATTTGTTACGACGGCACACTCGCGTTAAATATGTAAGAGGTCAGGAGCTCCACAAACGAAAAATCGACACGAAATTGTACTTGAGCGAGAAACCCGAAACCGTCAAGATTCGGTAAACCGCGACAACTTCCAACTTTCCGGTGGCGCGGTGTGCGTTTCTCAAGGTGGTGGTTCCTAAAGCTGCCGCGTGCCGCGCCACTTAACGAGCAGCATCCCGTCACGAACACGTTGCCGCTCCGCGCAGTCGCCTCTCCTTACAGATACTTCTCTCATATATGCCGGGCCAAGGATAAATAGCATATGAACATTCGAATGTTGCCAAATTTCCGCAGAGAAAAAGTTTATTTTCGAGGAGACTATTTGAATATTTTTTCTTGAAATTTTCGGACAGTTTAGATCCGATGGCGAGTAAAATTCGCTGAAAAATTGGAGGAATAATATCCACAGATTTCCAACACGATTCAAATTTTATCAAAGGACATTTGGCAACGTCTGAAGGCTCGTAAGACGTTCTTCCTCATCATGGCAGGAAAGGAGAGGGACTATAGCTAAGCCACTAGCCCCTGTAAAACCCCTGTTGCACGATTTATTTCTCTTCAGTTCTGAAGTGTAAAATACGACAGAAATAAATAAATTACCGAGAGAAGGGGGGAGGGGAAGAGGTCGTTAAAATTTCAGATAGATATTGAGGTTACTGTCTTAAAATGACGAGTGCACTTTGAAAAAAACTGACTTGATTTTAACAGAAATATTCTTGAATTTGTGGCCAGAAAAATTGTGTCTCGAATCAAAAGAACACATGTTTATATTAACAGAAAAGTTGCTTGTATCGAGGAGGGACTTGCTTGATTCCAGTGTTTTGAATATTTTTACTAAACTAGGACACTTTTTTCCGAGGTACTGTGGTATTATGTAAATGGAATGCAAAACTATTGAATTCACACGGGAATGTTGCAACGTCGAGGTGCAACTTGTCACGTTGTCACTGTGCGAGCAATTGAACTCTTTGAAGGCTTCACTAGCTAATAGCAATGTGATTAGGCCGATCGGTAAACTCACGAGCAAAACACGTTTCGACTGGGAACATTTTACTTGAAAAATGTAGACACACTGACCGAGAGCTTTGTGTTCCGATCTTTTACGACCTTTTTTTATTGATGCTATGAGATGCTTATTCTAGTGAGATAAGAAGTAAATTATGAGGCAATTCTCTCAGTTCATCCAAAAATTTAGGGAGATTACAAATAAAAGACAAAAACATAGAGGACCGATGAAAAAAAAATCATTCTGGGGCATTGACTGATGGTTGGAGTGCGTATTTAATAGATTAAGTGACAGTTCCTGTCTAATCGGCAACAGTGATTGGTGTCTGAATGCTTAGTATTCATTGGGGATCGTCGCGTCGATGACCGACGATGAATCCCGATGAGTACAACTTCCTCCGCTTTTCTGAGAACGGTGCTTATGGTAGATGGTGGTTGGTGGAACACGAAAAAATACGCAGTCGACTGATTGAAGACGTTATCGATTGATCGACGAAGATCGCTCAGGATGAAATCATATCGACGGTGTAAGTTGACAATCACATAACTCGTTTGCGGTGTTTGAAAATCTCCGCCTCTATGTTATGTTTTTAAAGGAGAACAAATTGATATCATTCCTTGAAGTTTTTGCAGAATTTTCTTTGCAAAGAGAAGAAAAATCACGGCAGTCTGAAAGAATTGCCGTTGAGTAATTTTCCGTTTAAAAAAAGAAAGTATGACAGGAAGTCTGCGACATCGCAAACCGAGTTACGTAATTGCCGACTTACACCGTCGATATGACGTTGGTAAACTGAACGTGCTACGGTAACTTTAATAGACTGATTTAGAGGCTACGACATGGTTCAAAGGCAAATAAACCCATAACCTTGCTTCTCATTCGGGGCCCTTTGTGTCATGGTGGTAAAATTCGTTCAAGTGTTTCTCGCAATCGAAATTTTTCGTGTTTAGTGAGTCCTGAATTAATTTATGACCGTTCAATGACTAAATTTTAATACAATAACACAATTAACTCATGAAGAATTCGTACATGTGGTTATGTTAGTTTGTTTTGGTTTGAACCATGAGTTCGATATTATATCGAATGACGTAGTCACTAAATCGGTCTATAAACGAGAAATTGTATTATATTTCCTGCGAAAGAACCTTACCTTGTGGTTGAGGTCGAGAACATCCTCCTCAAGGGACACGTCCGAGTATACATCGTCACCCGTGTCACATGTTGAGCTTCGGCCAGAGGAGTTGAAACTCGAGCTGCGGTATAATTGACTGGAAAAAAGAAAACGGGGAAAAAACAAGTTAGACTGAGTCTGAGGAGAAATGAGATACAGCTAGGTTTACTGACAAAATGCTTTACGTCTTTTGCGCTAGAACCCACAGTTCCGCGCGGCTACTTCTACATATGTATGATAATAAGTTTACGCACTTCCAGACGGCGACTGAGGATCGTCTGACGTTGGTTCGGGATTGAAAGTAAATGCAAGATAGAATCAAAATGTCGCAGTCTAAAAGTGCGTAAACTTATTTGGCGTGGACTTTAACCGATTGTGAGAGAAGAGATTACCTCAATTTCGGCTTTACTCAAACTTCAATTGGATCCGAGTCAACACGAGCGTTGGGTAAGTTTTGAGTAATTTAGAGTATAGTTATCTGATTTCGTGTGAAAAAGGGAGAAAAGCAATAATAAACCAAAATCTATGACGGGTTAAAATTTTAACACTTAGGTTGACATGAGCTAACTAAGGAAATTAAACCTAGAGGTGGTTCTTCGTGTACTGTTGGCAAAATCTTCCTTATTGACCGAAATTTGCTACTTCGGAAGATTCAACGTTTTAAGGGCCGCTTCTACTACCTCCAGTTATGCTTAGCCAAGTGGCGAAATGGTGCTGGACCCAGCACCATTTCGCGGGGAAAACAAAGCCAAAAAGTTCCGAAAATTTCAATTAAAGTCGAACATTTTTGAGCTCTAATGAGTTCCAGTACAAGACTGAGAGGGGGGGGGGGTTCAGCTCAGGCAGCTTGCATTGGAGTATTAAGGTGAGGGGGGGGGGGGTAGTGTTGCAGCTTAGGCAGCTTGGTTATATTTAACCTCTTGTCAAGTGCTAAGTTCAAATACTTTCCACGGGAAACTTGAAGCTGTTACATTTCTTTTCTGGGTTAAAATAACATATTTGGCTTACTTTTAAACTAAAAAACAACCCTCCGTTAAATTTTGACATATACTTAGAGTGCCTGTCAAATTTTACCCAGAAAATACCAGATGGCAAGAGGTGATGACGGAACCGGGCCTGAGGGAACAGGGAGAACTTGTGTCCGTGGAATCTAGTTGCTGCAGTGCAAAATGCATGCAAATGCTTTGAAGGCGCTTTTTATGAGCCGAGCGATTGAAGCTACGACTACGACGCAACGCAACGAGAAGAAACGTATGTGTGTAGTAGTGTAATGACAGGGTCAGCGAGGGCGATGGAGAGGGGGGTGGGGGGAGGCGATTGGATTGCACGGGGGGATCAAGCACGAGATGCGTCAAGCATGGCGATTTTACCACATCAATTTTGTAATAATGTGTAACCTCGATACACAGTGGGGACATCGGGCCGGGACGAGTCAAAGCATACGGTATCGACCGCTCCACGGACTCGGCCTTATACTTTCAGACTGAAACACATACTCGCCAGTCGCCATAGAGTTCTCCCTCCTCTAGCACTCACCAATCGGTCAGCCTTATGGCTGGTGCCAAAATTATGCATTTCGAAGCTTTATGACTCACGTTCAGAAAATGGGAGCTAAAAATGGAAGTCGTCAGTTCTGGCTCAGCAATCGTATTCCCCCCCCCCCTTCCTAAAAAAATAAATAAATAATTTGGCCAAAAGTGTGCCTAATTTGTACACACTGTTCAGAAAAACTGACAACAACTGTACTAAAAGAAGGGGGAGGTGCGTTTGATTTAACGGATATAATCGTGAATTTGCGGTCAGTAAAATTTTAATAGACCTCTTCATGATATTAGCATATTTGGATCGCATTTAGTAGCAAGGGATCAAGCCACATCAGCTATTGCCACATTATTTCAACCGAGCAATTCAATTTTTTAGGAGAGAACGTTTGTGCGTATTTGTTGAAATTTTTGAGGAATTTGCTTCGTACTTTGCAGAAAATTCACTGACATTTGCCACACAAAAAGAAAAAGAAAAAAAAATCCACACAATCGTTTCCGGTTAAAAAATTAAATTGCCCGATTAAAGAGAATGGCTGGGGTAGCTTGGTTTCTTTCTACCTAACGCGTCATTTCTTTCCTGACGACAAAAAAAAATATTTTGAATTTTTTCCTAGTGTTTTGCGTTACTGGTCCTCATATCCATTCCTGAAAATTGCACGACGTGCGATGATTTCAGGCAACATTCCACAAAGCACCAAAGGCTCCCATTTTCAGCGTGTGCACTCGGAATACAGCTTTTATCGCAACAGGAAAGAAGGGAGGGGGGGTGTCAGTCTACTCGGTGAATACGCGGTATCATCCGTTTCGGGCTTTTCCCGGTTATTTTAGGTCGGGCGAAGTCGAGGGCCGCAGGCGCGAAGAGGAAACTGACCCCGAGGAGTCCGAATTCCGAAGAAGCCCCCGCCACAATTTTGGAATCATTTCATCACACTTAGAGAGTACGAAAAATTTTGGCCTGAATCGATACCAAAGAGTCCGCAATCGCTTATCGATTGCAAAAGGACACTAAGAGACGCAGCACTGCTTCATACGCTAAAAAGACTGGAACGCCTTCAATTTTCAGTACGCAACCAGGACGTCCATAGAGTACGAATAGTTGCATCAAGGCGTTATTACCGATATCATCGTTTCGTGCTCAGTAATACATACAGATGAGGCGTAGAGGAAAAACGTCGTATGAACACTCGAGCGTTGCCAAATTTCCTCCGATTAAATAAGAATTTACTTGAAAACTTGATAGCTCTTATGTTTTAAATTTGTAGAGAATTTTCCGCGGTATTTAATCCGATGACTGGGAAAATTACAAGAAAGAATATTCCCAACTTTCTTTTAAAAAAATGTTTTGCCGTTTGGCAACGTCTGAATTTTCAAACGACATTTTTCCACTTCGGCAAACTTACTTTAACAACAGCCAAGCCTAGCACTGATGATCTGTAACACCCTGTGCAAAACTTTGCAATGCTGTATCATGACTGATTGCTAGATAGTAATGTCAACAACAGTCTAAATCCCCGAGCAACATCAGCTGATGAAATTGGGCTCCGGGAAATAAAAAGGTCAATTAAAGTTCTATTTACAGGGTTGCAATTATTTCTTCATCTTCAAATTCCTTGACTTTCCCCGATTTTTCCATGACTATTTTTGCTTTACCCTGACTCAATGAGGTTTCCGAATTCCCTGACTTTTGAACAAAATTTCCGCTCTTTAATTTTTGATATTCGCTAATTTTCGCTGAACTCAGGAAAAAGTTAGGAATTAGGACAAAATTTCCTTGCTTAGAGATCAAAAGATCAGAAGGGGTAAAGGATGTGAAGCCTTAAAATAACCAGAGAGTGTAAACAACTGGAAGATCAGTGATATGTCTTAGTGATTAGTATATGTGTCAGAAATTCCCTGACTTATCCCACGAATTATATCCACGATACGTGCAACGCGAACCGCGTGTTTCTGGGTTTAATCGAGACATTATTTTGTGATGAGATTTTCATGCTATTTTGTCAAGAAAAAGTCCACACCATTCGAATATCTGCAAGTCCTGTACCCAAAATAACCATTTCTTGATTTAGTTAACGAAGAGATACAAAAATATGGATACACAATTGTATTTAAGATGAAGATAATACGCAAAGATAGCCCGAACAATTTAACTAGAAAAAACACAAAACAATGGGTAAACAAGGCTAAAAACAGAGACATAAAATTCTGGTACGTTTCGGGGTGGCCTCAACCCCTCCTCGACCAGGAAACAAAAATAAAATTTAAAAAAAAAATGTGTAATTTTTTTTTGATTTTATTTTTATTTCCTAGTCGAGAAGGGAGTTGAGACCACCCCGAAACGACCCAGGTTTTTATGTCTCTGTTTTTAGCCTTTTTTACCCATTGTTTTGTGTTTTTTCTAGTTGTAGTTTTACTAAATTTAAAGAGAAGAGAGAAAAAATTGATGAGTAGAAGAAAACCTGCAGCTCAGAAACGGTATGCGTTCGTGCACGGCTGTGTTTCGCGACGTCGACGTTTGGAAGACGTGAGACACGACGTGCGGGCTAAAGAGGATGGGTACGCTAAGACGACAATGACGACGGTGTAACCGGATGAATCATCGAACGAAAAACGCTGAAAAATGCCAAGAATCCGAGTGCGACCACCACTCGCATCACGATGCCGAAAGAATAAAGAAAGGACGAAAAAGTAAAACTACATTCATCTTATTTTTCCGCGATACGAGCGCCCCCTGCACACGATGTCCGACGCGGAAAATTCTCCATTCACTTTCCCGAAGAGGCGGCACTCGCTCGTGAATATCAATTGCTTTCACACCGCCGACTTCCGCCGATGTTGTTCGGATAAACTTGACAACTTCATTTCATTGGAATGAATAGTGAAGAATGAACTGCAACATTCCGATGGTGCCACAGGATTTTAATCCTTCCTATATTAATCGGAGCAGCTTCATGACTACAACCGTGCTGCGTTAGGAATTCTCGAATGTCCATAAAACATTCTCGGCATTTAAGGAGCATTCTTTCCTCTTCTCTAATTGTTCGGCTCTTGTAGTAGGCCTAGACGGAGCGTGGGACATGAAAAGGGCCAAAATCAGAGCCCATTGGTAGATTCTTGTTTGGGTTAGCTTGGAGACTTGAACGCATGATAAGGAACGTAGAAACAATATTTATAGTTTTTAGTTTCTTGTTTGGCAATAAGTAAGAACGCAATGGGTTAGTTGTGCTAGTCACAGAATCGTGTTTTGATGCTTTATTCCTGTAGATGAGCTAAAAATATTAAGATCTATTCAAGCTGCAACTTTCTACGCTCAATATTAACCAAGATATCGCTTTATGAAAAACTCGGTTTTTGACGTCATCCATTGCGGTAGTGACACCCTTGGTTTCTTCCACCCTGGTTTTGTCCGTGTTTTAAGTTGAGTAACCAATGCATTTGTGTACATCAGTGATTGATGAATCCAAGGTGAAAGAAACCAAGGGTGTCAGTGTCGCGGTGGATGACGTTAAAAACCGAGTTTCTCAAAGCGCGACATCTCGGTTAATATTGAACGTAGAAAGTTGCTGTTCGGGCGGATTTTATTATTTTTAGGCGATCTACAAGAATCAAGCACTAAAACACAATTCTGGAACCTATGCAACTGACCTATTAAAGAGGGCCATAAAATCACGGACCCTTGATCGATTCTGTTTGGGATGGCTTGGAGACTCGAACGCAAGATAAGAAACATAGAGACGAAATTATCTTTATTCGCTTCTTTTTAAGCCTAGAAAGCGAAGGAACGGAATGAAAAGGGGCCAAAATCGGGGACCATTGATTGACTTTTGTTTGGGTTAGCTTGAACGCACGATAAGCAAAGTAGGGAAAAAACAGAACAGAATCGTTCAGACATCCAATGTACCGTTCCTCTGAAAATAGGCAGGGGAGATGAATGGATACCCTTCATAATACAATTGTTTTAAAAGATATACCATAATAATGAACAAGCAACCAGTAAGTTGACAGACAGCTAGATGAAGAAAAAAAATGTGCCACAAGTGAGCGCAGCATTTTGTTAAATAAATGGGCAAGCTGAAGCTAAGATCCGGTGATAATTGTTGGTTTTCTATGTATGTACCTAAAGTGTGAAAAAACTTTGAATGCTTACCTTGCTAAGGCATTTGAGCTAAGACGCTTCCCGGACCTGAAACAGAAAATACACAATATTGAGTGACATTAAACCGTAAAACAATGATCAAATTGGAGTGAAAAAAAAAACAAGTTTACTCAACTTAAAAAAAGTAAGGGCCCTTGCCACTAAGCCCGAGGGTTACTCTCTCATAGTCAAAAGCGCATACTTAGGGACCAAGGAAGGAAATAAACTTGATTTTGGTTTTGACAGTGGTGGGCTTAATAGCTCATATTGCATACCAACCTGGCCGCGATGAAGGTAAGGAGCACTATATAGATCTCAGAATTCTTTTCGAGTTAATTTATTACCACCCATTAGAACTAGAAACGGTTGACTCAAAGGCGAGCTTTCGTCTTAAAAGAGGGATAAAAGAAAGCCTTACAACAATTCTGTCGGGCTACAGGAACAAGTCGTATCAGCATTCGAATGGTGTCATTTCCTCTTAGAGAATATTTATTTTTGAAGAAAGTTAGTTACGAAAATTTTTCCTTGAACTTTTCACACACTTCAGATTAAATTACACGAGCGAAATCCTCGGAAAAATTGGGAGGAAAATGTTCAGAAATGTTCCCGAAAATTCGTGATTTCTCGAAGGAAATTTGCCAACGTCTGAGAGCTCATACGACGTTCTTTCATAGCACGGCATAATTGAGGAGGCGACGACGGCTGGGGTGCAATCGTGAAAGTCGCCGCTAAAATTCGCGAGGGCACACACAAAACGGAAATGTTCATCGCATACTTGAGGCGATGGAGGTTTATTGCCACTACGAGGGGGTATAAAATGAACGCATAATTATACGCGTTCCGAGCGAAACTATGTGTAGATGAACCGAATAAAAAAGAACTATGCGCATAAGATTTGCATGTCTTATAGTTCCTTTTGATTTCATTCATTTGTATGTGGCTCCTTCTGGCATAAATACGTCCAGATGTAGCTTATTGTAAGCACTTTACTGTTCTCCGCTGAAGGAGCGATCAGCTTGGCCGGATATAAACTGTAAGTAATGAAGCTGAGCTGCAAAATTCAGGGGAGAAAGAATTAAATGTTTCTCATTTTTAGAGAAGGACCGGTTTCAATGTGCACTAATCGGCAAACACGCTAAAAGCCTTTCTCTGAGGTGAACAGGATCTGGGCCCACAAAATGGGCATGGACCGATACTGTAGAGATCCATCTGTATGCAATTTTAGAATCTTGGTTCTCGTCAGAACTCAGGACTCTAAGTGAAAAAGAGCCTGCTCCAGTCCATTCCGACACCAATGATTTTCTTGAGCTCATCACAAAATACACACAATTATAATTTGTCGGCAGTATCCGGTCGTACTCCGAAAAGCTACGCGGCTAGAGCCAAAATTCTCCAAGAAGAAAACTGCCGGGATGTGGATGCTAAACTTGCAGAACTCCTGCCAACTTTCGGGCCGGAACTATGAATAGCCAAGGGGTTTGGCTAAAAGACTAGAAAAACTTTTATTTTTACAAAACAGTTCCCACTGCGAAGAGCTCCTGTAGTGCCATTCAAGCGGTGCGTGTACTCGTACTTATGACGAAATTGGGTTTTAAGAACTATCTCTAACGCGAGCCAAGAAGATCTGCTCAACATGCCACCGCTATGAAAAAAAGGGGGGGGGGTAGGAGCGTTAGGTACCCTTAAAGACTTCTTTTCACCCCTTACATGAGAATGTCAAATTTTACTAGGAGCCGCATTAGTAAGTTACTTTAGATCCGACGTCATCATTCTTTATGCAAGCATGTTATTTTAAGAGCCTCTGTCCTGGTGACCTGGTAAATGCGTTAGGTCGCGACGCCCGCCGGTGACCCGTGACCCTTAACCTTGAGGCATGAGAAGGGGTGTAGCGTGCGGCTTGCAAGTTTAAGTCTGGCTCAACACTCGCCGTGCCAATTTAGCTTGCATGCAGCATAATGCTAATTAACCAGGAATGCAGGATTTCTGGGATGGGCGTGCGTTCGGTGCTCTAGTTCTACTTCTATGTATAGCTACCCAGAACAGCGCAGCGCGAGAGGTCAGCTGATCACACAAAATTTTTCGATATCTGCTACAGCCTACGGCTTCACAATTACACCGCTAAAGCATCGAGACACACTACTAGGTCCAAATCGACCTCATCTAATGGATTACACTGGATCATCTTCGATAGTGGTTCGATGTATTGTTTGGTTCAAAACAATAGAACATAACCACAAACAAGTTTACTGCAAGTTACCTCAAGCAAAGGATTTAAGTTGGAAAAGCTGAAAATGAGAAAATTCCTAATGATTTCACTTTTCAGGGCCATGTTGAACTCATGAGAATCAAAAATCTCACAAAAAACCCCGTTCCCATAGATTTCGCAATTGACTTTTGAGACTATATTTACACGTTGAACCAGTCGATATCGATACAATCTCACCTGTTTGCTGTATCAAATACGATTTATGGTCTGGATGACGGCAACTGTAGGCCAAAGTTTAAAAATGAGAACATGGCTGGTTTAAAAGAGTTCTGTGGGCGACTTAGCGATATAATAGCATTTTAAACCCGAGTGTTTCCTACTGGGGTGTAGTTTTTTAAGAGTGTTCCACGTGAACCACAATACGATTACAGTCGTGAATTTTACGAGCATTAACCGGAATCTTGATTTTTTTTTCATTGAGGCCTTTCAATTTTTTTGAAAGCTGAGGTCGTAAAAACAATTTTAACCTTTCCGGCACAGTCTTGACTATTGAGACTGAGTTAAACTTGAACAAACAACGAAAACGACTGTTGAATGGGAGCAATGCTCTTTGGGGCAAGGTCGAATGAGCGTCGAAACTGGAGGAGATTACAAGCGATGGGAATGGGTAATTAGTTCGGACAGGGTGACTGAGCACGTGGGTTGCCTAATGTCGTGGGTTGACATTTATTTATTATGGATTTTCATTCCTTCAATGATTTCTGAGTTATCACGACGCAAAGCAGCGTCACGGCTCTGATAGGAGGGGGAATGGAACTGGCTGATTGAAGTCAGCAAGGCACGTGAATTTATCATTATTTCATAAATCTCATCGTAAGCAACCATTTGAACGAGTAGGGATGTTAAAAATGAAAATTGCATTTGCGGCAAAAATGAACAGGTGCATTAAAAACATAAATACTAGTAAAAGATAGCGACGGTGATCGGAATTGCATGGTCTTTCGCATTTTTCTCCTTTTTTTAAAAAAAAAAAAAAAAAAAAAAATGAGATCTGCGACTTTAAATACAGGAATCATAACCTGATACGTTATTGCAGCCTGAGTTGGCAAGAATGCAATTAATTTAAAGTAACATAAAATAATTCCTTTTTTTTAACCGGTCTTGTCAAAGTTATTTACGTAGATACATTGTATATAAGGTACTTCTTCTAATGCCATTTTTTGGGAGCAGATCTCCCAGATTTCAGCTATCAAAATTTTAAAGTCACTGCATTTATTCGAATGGGTTGAGAGCGTTTTAAAACTTACGCAACGCATGTTTTGAATATACTCGCTGCGTGTATCCGAATCCCACTTATGAAGTTCGTAAGGTTGAGTGAGCCCTGAGCCCTTTTAGTCTCTTAGGCTATGCAATATTGAATGAGCTCCGCTTCTGCAAATTGTAGAGGTTTTTTTTTTTCCAAACAAAATACGGCTGAAAATTTTGACTGCACAACAAATGATGTGGATTAAATTTTTGACCATTAGTTCTTGCAGGACTTAAGCGTTCCTGTACCCTAAAAAAGCACCATAACGCAGAATTAGACCCTCCCTCCCACTCGGTCCGTTGTGTAATGCTAGAATTTATCGTCTAATGTTAGTTAGCCGCTAAAAATGTCTGAGCAAACCACCCATGCCTCCAAATGAGTTCCATGAACATAATGCTTCACTCAATGGCTCGTTAGTCTAATTGTTTAGGGCATCGAAATGACAATTGCAGAAATATCGGCTCCATACAGATTGAGACTTCAAGTTTGAAGTCATTAAGCAGCATAGCATTGGAAGGAGCATAATACGGCTACGCTGCACCGCTGTGGTAATAGAAGATTTGGCCGACATAGCGAAACCTTCTCGCTTGGTCGGGTAACTTTCTGAGAGCGTAACTTCCAATAACCACCTGGTTTTATTGCTGACCTTAACAGATCTACTGTGAGGTCATAAGAAGATCCGATGATGCCTCAAAAGAATCGGTGCATGCGGGATATCCTTCACACCCAAGTCTAGAAGACTTTTTCTAGGAAAGAGCACAAAATGTGTACTAGTTGGTCTTATAAATTCATAGAGAAAAAAAAGGAAGTGTTTGAATTTCGGGCATCTTGGAATTTTTTGATGACTTGATGACGTAGGTGGGTACAGCGACGTCCCTTTCACGCTAAACTTCGCTGTACCCACCTACGTCATCAAGTCATCAAAAAATTCCAAGATGCCCGAAATGCAAACACCTCCTTTTTTATCTCTATGAATTTATAGGACCAACTAGTACAAAAAATATGGATTTTACGGCACAAAACACTTAGTAACCAATCCATCAATAGGATCACTCCATTTTCTCTTAGACTCCTTCGTCCATAGCTTTGTCTATCAATTTTTATAATCAGACCGCTGATTCGATTGTATGCCCCTTCTTAAATCATCTCTGTCCGATCGCCACTGGTCGCAGGCATACTGAAAAATGAATTATCGGATCCGATGTGAGAATAATCATGACGCGTCCTTTCTGGTTGAGCCAAGAACAATGCAGAAAGTCCATCGGGATGATAATTATACTGAAGCGAGGCCCGGGGCGTCAATGGTGCACGACGGGACACGGACACCTGCAGCGACCTGCGGTACCCTCAGCCAGAACCAAAGGACAGCGGCCAGCCCTGAGGACTCGGGGAAATGGAGTGAAGCGGACCACGCGCGCCGCACGGCCACACCGAGGCTCCAGTTGAATCGGTCATTCTCAAAACGACTTAAGTGCCAAAAAAAATCGGAAATCGAGTGTTTGGTGTTGCGGTATTGCTTGGGCATAAATGCATCTT